CGCGGCCCGTATTCTTGCTGGCTTGTGGATACTCCAAGTTGCAGGAAAGAGCTGTACACTTTGTATACAATAGTCTTTTTTACTCCAAGTAGATGGCAGATATGCTTGACAGAGTGCCCACGTCGACATAGAACAGGTATTTGAGCTTTTAAATCATCTGAAACAGTGTGCAGCAGCATGGACAAACACTGACCAGTGACAACGCAGACTCAATGTTATAATCAAGCGCTGCAAATCTCTCATTATGTTCTTACGGGGTCCTTGTCCGGGCATTTCCGACACACAAGTTTTGATTTGTGATTCCGCACTAGGGTTTGGTGTTGCCAACTTTCACCTTGCTCTGTCCTGCAGAAACAATGACAAATTTCAGCTGGGAAGATGCAGGTAGTAGTTTTCTCAACCTCCTTTTTATTTTAAACAATCAAACACTTGGAGGCATACATGATAATGCTACAAGTTACACTAAGATTCTGTCAGCCATTTTGGTGGCAACTGAGATGGAGACTGTGCACAACAAACCAAAGCAAGCTGACTCAATTCTGGCCAGCAAGGCCTACTTGGCAGACATCCATCCATGAATCGTTATAATCTCAAACTGCCTGACTTTGCAAACGATACACAGACCATGGAAGATTGGTCTAAGCCGGGGTCTCCGACATTGGATAATACATTGCCTCCTGTAGACACGGAGCTGGCTGATGGCTGTGGCGCGAGCGTTGAGATTGCCTGCTCACCTTGGACAGCCATTCGGCACTCTTTTCTAGCACAGCTGCACGGTGGGGAGTTTAAAAGAATCACGTCGGATAACAATATCATCGCACGTGCTGGTGTCTTAATAACCGAGGGTCTTATATAAATACGTGTAAGAATGTAATGACACCACAATTACACTGGATAAGACTTCTTGCCATTCCTCATTAACATGGTCTACGACTTTTCTTCTTTCGTGGTAGATAACGTGTGAGTTTTGGGAGGCTTGCTAAACCAATCAGTTAGATTAATTAGCCAGAGCTTTATTATCTCTGATTGAAACTATGGGATTGTCTAGGATATACCATCTAGACACTTGAACTGGTTTCCTGAATATACGGTTAACTGTTGAGAAGCTGGTCTCAAATGTGACTACGTGGACCAAAGCTCGTGTTGGTCAATATACAAATACCTGGTGAGAACGCTGGTCTCACAAATAACAACAAATGACAAATAGAAAACAATGACAAATAACAACAATGACCAAAGCTCGTGTTGGTCAGTATACAAATACCTGGTGAGAACGCTGGTCTCACAAATAACAATGGTGACCAAAGCTCGTGTTGGTCAGTAAACACTACGTGGTGAGAACACTGGTCTCACAAAACTGGGTTTCTATCGCGAGAAACTTACGTAATCTCAAGGGAAACACTTTCCCTGCACTTGTCTGGACAGTTCTTACAAAGGAAATGGGCTTTGTAAGCAGCAATTTGTTCAGACTGAAGCTTCTTAGGTGAGAGTCAATTTGCTCAAGTGGGAGGTTCTTGAATGCAACAAGTGGGAGATCTATTTTTTTGGGGGGAGAATGGGCTCTCCTTATATACATTTTGTGTGGGAATATTATGTAAGTAAAAAGGTGATGTAATGACTTCAGAATGTGAGAAGAATATTCCAAAACTGGAGCAGAATGTTCTAGCAGGTGCAAAAGAACATTCCAGAATATTCATGGTGGCATAATGTTAAGACCGAACTCAAGTAGTATCGGATCCGAAGGGCTTCGGCCTCAGCTCGTGCACTGTGCCCCTTTCCCGAGTCTTGCCCCTTATTTCAGAGTACTAGAGTATCGCGTATATTGAGACAGATAAGTCTCGTAACGGATCCGTTATGGCTTCCGGATATTGAACGTATATAGTAACGGCTAATCCGGATCGGATCCGAACTAGAAACTAGCAGGCGAGGACTGTCCGAGACAGAGACGGATATATAGACTATAGGAATCAATCCTAAGTCTCGGAGTAGACAAGAGTATTGTACTCAAGTCCGGATGGATAACGGAGGGACTTGGAGTCCAGACAGAATGAGTGCAATCTAAGATGATATTCGAACTGATCTGCTACAGCGCATGTACAAGGGTTTATATACTACGGATAACTAACGGAATGATCAATAAGCAAGGATGCGAGGCTATGTACGAAGTATAAGCAAAGTATGTGTACAGCATATTGGTAAGTCGGACGGATAACGTATCATAACCGGGAATGAAGTCTAAGCTAAAGCGGATCAGTAAGTGTAGCGGATCAGTAAGCATAACGGAAGTAAAGGATAACCGGTATACCGGTGTACAGGAATGCCGAAAGGAGATGAACGATAGTTAGAGTTATATGAACAGGACATGAAACAAGGATTAGATTGGATCTGTGGACCAGACGACGGATATGTCCATCGGATCTGGATCGGATCTGAGATCCGGATCTTCGGATCTGTACCCGGGAATATGGTATATGACAGTATCCCCCCCTTAGGGCCGATCCCTAGAGGCATGAGAATCAGCGATCTGGAACGGATGGTATGAGTGCGAGACAAAAGAGAAGTTGATGGGAGAAGTTGCTGAGTTCAGATTTTCGACAGATATATGGATGCCAAAGCATTGCAGGTGTTCCTTCCTTTCCCCACTTTTTCCCTACCACTAGCTTAACTCAAACATGGCTGATAACGGATCCGGCTCTAAGAAGACCGCTAGGCAGACTCTGGCGGATGTACAGGCCGCGCTGGCTGCTGCTGAGGATGAGGTTCGGAAGGAGGAAGAGGCTGAAAAGCAGAAGCAACAAGAGGAGGAGGCAGAACGGAAACACTTGGATGGGATTAGGAAGATTGAACAGGCCGAGATCCGAAGGGAAGTGGAGGAGGACTAGGCGCAGGGCTATTGTAGCGGAAATGGTGAGTTATGATTTGTACCATCGGATCCGTGGCTTATCGGATCCATTCCTTATCGGATTCGTAGACTCGCGCTATTTCAGTGGATAAGGATGGGTCTTGTACTCGTTGCGCTAAGAAGAATCGGATCTGTCTATGGTCCGATGCCGATAGCAATTCCTTGGTGAGTCGTCCTTGATTTTTCGGATCCGTGACTCTTAACATTCGGATAGATCAAGGCTTGCAATCTGTGCCAGAAGGATAAGGTTACCTGCCCTGGAAGGCCTGGACTTGTCAAGGATTCCAAGTCTAAGAAGAGGCAACGCGCTGCTGAGAACCCATCTCCGAGAGGCAAGGGTAAGAAGCGCCAGCAGAGTCCGACTCCGGATCCGGATATGAAGATGGCAGTAGCGGATGAGGTGGAAGTGGAGTATGATGATCAGGCCTGGGTTGCTGCTGCTAACAACATTGTAGCGGAGCTGGTCCAGACCAACGGATTACTCCAGCAGAGCATCGGAGCGGCGGAAGGGAGTAGGGCTGCTATGGAGAGGATGAATACTAACTTGGAGGCATTTTGGAGCAGCAGAGGGAGTTCCAGAACATCCTTCTTGAGGGGATCCGGAATGGAATTCGGATCACCGAGGCAGCCCAATCCAAGGTCACTGAGAAGGACGCTGATGAATCCGGATCCGCTGGGGACATGGAGATGGATGGCTAAGGATTTCTGGATCCGCTTTCTCTGCTACTAATGTACTTGTATATCCGTTTTGTATTCATTGTATAGCAATAGGACCGGGTTTGTCTGGATATGCGGTGTGGAAAGCCGAGACTAGATTGGACGCGTTTCCGAGTTCCGTGGCTAGTAACCATGAAGTCTCTTCGTCCGTTCCTTCATATCCGGACCATGGGATGAGGTATAAGAGTTGGCATTGACGTCTACAATGGTCTAGCTTCAAGTCTAGGATTTCGGATATCTCATATTCTGGTTCTCCGCATCAGGAAAATATGCTAACTCTATATAGCCCAGTATAGTGCCCTATAGCCCCCCATAGACCATATGGGACCTATAGCCCCATAGCTAAGTCCCCAATTATATAGGCCTGTAGAGCACGTTATAGTGGGGTATAGCACCATATAGTCTGTCTAAAAAATTATATTCATCATAATAGGATCATTTGTATGACTATAACCATCTATACCAGGCTACATTGACCCTTATATCTTCTGTATCCTCTTGATATATGATGTTATACAGACCTATGACATTTCTATATAGCTCCATATCTCAATCAATTCATTGCGTCATCCAGATGATACATTTGTCAAATATTTATTTTACAAAATCTAGTATATCAGTTGACGACAGCATCATCAACATTTGCTACACCAGACATTGGCCTAGCATACTCCTCCATTGCATCAAAATCAACATCAGATTCATCACTGTCGCCTCCCTCTTCTCTAAGCTGGAAACGACAAGCCTCTCTATCATAGTGTTAGTAACAAGATCATATGATTTTAAAACCGCAAAACACGTACCCAATATCAGTCCACAGATCATCTCTCAATTTCTTCATATAGCCTGGAGTCTTAAGGCTATACTCAGTGAGTTTAGACAAGTAGTACTGATGTCTATGTATGACGTTCAGTAATATAACCAAAAAATATCCAAAAAAGTAAAATATATATGCACCTTGGTTGAAACACTGGTTCCTTGAACTCTACTACAACTGGTGTACCTGTGAGCATGCCTTTGTATGCACACTCTATCTGAAGATGCGTTAAGGTTAGTATGAAATATTATTGAATAATAAAACTTACTGAAGCTGCCAAAAGCGCAATAAGATTATCAGGAAGCTTTTGAAATTCTTCCTTGTAAAGCAATCCTTCAGCACCAGCGCCCTGAAAAAATTGGCCCATGAGAAGTTGCTTGATGAGGTGTGTGCGGAAAGGAAGGTTCTTGTTGAAGGTCTTGGCCTGAATACACGTCTAGTCAGTATACATATACAAAGGTAAGAAGTAGATGGCGTACTTTAATGTCCATCTCACCACTAAGGAACGGCTCCTTTCTTGTAGATATAACCCAATTAGCTATGTCGGCTGAGGAAGGAAGACAATGTTGAGATTAGATTTAAAAATATATAACCTGAAAAGACATCACCTATTTCCTTGGGACGTAAATGCTGCAACATGAAAATCACATTCTCTCTAGCCTTCCTAGCCAACTCCCCCCTTAACTGAGATGCACCTGACCATACCTAAGAACAGCGTCAGTAAGTATTCATAAAAAATTAGTGAACTTACATATGCCAATGCCCTGCCTTTGAGTGTATCATCTTCACTAATGCGATCAAACATAACCTTCATTGGGGAGCCTGATTCTTTACCAGCCTCCTTGATACAGTTCCAGGCAAAGGCGTCCTGGACATCTACAGAAGGACCAGGAAAGGCGTTCTCCAGGGCAATTTTTACTCTCAGCAGTTGATGAGCAAGATCCACCAAAGGTCCGCATCCATCTTTTTTTAAAGATGCAAGGGTAGTAGGTGGTCTGACTTCACCTTTATTGGCCCCCCTTCTGCGACGCCTGACAGCCATTTCATCTTGCGACTCATCCTTGACTTCTATTAGCTAGATGTAATATTAGTTAGCTATGAAGTCAATTAAGTATAGCAGACGTACACCATTGCCTCTCTTCTTAACCACAGACTGCTCTCCAGCTACGTCTGTCTATTGCTGAATCTGCCTCTGGGTGACGCGAATGATCTGAATCTAAAACACATGATTGTTCAAATATACTAGCTGATATGTCAATGATAACTTACCTTCACTGGCTATGGGCGTATTCTTTTTCTTAGGGTCCAAGTGAGGCAAAATATCATCAGGATTGGCATCGTCTTCTACTTCTTCATCTGTGTCCATAGGTTTTGCCTTCTTGCTCACTATATCATGGGTGATGTTATCATACACACAAAATCTTGTTGATTACGCACCTTTTTTCCTCTTGTTATGCTCCGTAATCTCATGCTCAGTATTACTCTCTTCTTCATCTAGCATGGCGTCAACATTCTTCCTCAAACCTAATTCAATGCTCTATTAGTTAGCATTTGAATATCATTACATTAGTGAAAAGCATCACTAACCTTTGCGATGATTGAGTTCAGCTTCCTTCTTTTTTGAGCTTGAAACTTCAGGAATTCGTCATACTGGTCATCAGTTATAACTTTGCTTGCTTTTGTCTTGCCTTTATTACTAGCAGGAGGAGCTGAGGAAGTAGGGGAAGGCGGTCTTTTGCCTTTGCCTTTCACTCGCATAGTGATGATAGGGTAGTAGTGAGAAAAGTGGTTCGTGTAAAAATGTAACCTGCTTATATGAGACCATGCATGTAACGTAACAAAAGGTCTACAGAATCTGGTGCATTGCAATTCTAGTGTAAGTTATACAAAAGAATGCATAGTATTGTTGTCTACCCATCCATTTTGATTCCTAATCCATGATGCAAACTCCTTGTCAGTCTGGAAAACCAAGGACGCCCTCCCCCCCTGTAGTCTAGGTTGAAATGGGTTACCTCACTAGATCTGAAGATAGCTATGTCACCATTGCGCAACTCCAGAACTAGCCCATTCTCCAACAAGCACAAGGCCCCCCCCTCAAAGTGTCCAATAGGTATCACCAAACATAGATGACGATCACCGCTGTCTCTATGAGCTTTGGTGCGAACATTGATGTTGATCACTAGAGAAATGAAAGGAACAACGGGGGGAAGAGCGTTGCCAGGCAAAACTGAGGCGACCTCCATCAGCATTTCGAACTCTTCTTGTAGGTAATTCTCCATCTACCATTGAAACAATTTAGCGCTTGGATGCTACGCAGATTTCACCGAACTTACCAACTGGTCTTACCCACTCAAATAACTCCCCGTACACCTTTGAGATTGTTCCGTATACGAGTCTGTGCTGTTGTAAGTCCTGGGATTGTAGGGAATAACTTGACCATGGTTTGTGCGCATTCCTTCCTTCTCTAGCAGCCAAGGTTGAACGTCTGTTGGAGCGTTAAGGCCCTAGTATTATATTAACAACAAAATACTGATAGTCCATGTGCGCTAGCTTACCGATGTACAATGGCGATTGTACCAAGAGAGGTGCATAGCCTGGAAAGGTCTACCTCCAGGCAAGCGCGTATCCATATCTCCAAGCAAGTCTGCATTTCCGAGTGCAGCCAGTAAATTGACTTCCAGAGAAGCGCGTATGTGGGTGGGAAGTGCAGTAGATACAAACGCCATCAACGACCCATCCTTGTTTCGAAGATCTAGGTGGTGACTGACCAGAGTTTCAGGTGCAAGAGCAGTGTGGGAGAGCCAGATACGTACTTTGGCATGATCTGCATTGAGATTAGTAAGTATGCACCAGGTAATTTCTTGACGCCATTGCGATAGAAAGTTTTGAGCTGTTGACAAGATAAGTACGATTGGCATCGGAACTTGCACACCCACCTTGTTGCGTAAGTCTTCCAGGCTTTTCACCCTTTCACCCGCCTCTGCTCGTAACCTCTCCGCCGCACTCCAGCTAGTGTTCAGGACCTTGTCACGAGGAGGCTTGAAGCACTTGTTCTTAGCTGATGATGGATCAAACGCTGTGTCAATGACAACATGCGCGATCTCGTCCTCCTCGATGTCGGATAATGGTGGGACTATAAGGACGACCTACACCATAGAGCTCACTGTGATTGACAGTGTGTAAAGGCAGCCTTTGAAGATCAGTTGGCACAGGCGCAATGCACGCGCGCCAAACATGTCCACTTCTACGGAGTGGTGTGAATGCGCTAAATTTGACTGTGTTAGTCAATTAGATCGCATATGAATATGCCATACGCACTTTTGGATAATGGCATCAAAAAACCGATCAGATGCTGAGAAGTCCGTGCAGTCGATTATCCTTGAGATGGAGAATCTCTCGATCAAAGCGCGAGAGGAGAACATTGAGGTCATACTGAAGGGATGGGAGAGTTGCATGCGTGCGATGGTGGGTACCATGCGTTCAAGAATCAGCTTTCTTTGAGGAGAATCTATTACCATACATGGTTAGTAGTCTGATCGCCCAAGACAAAAGGTCCGCTTACCCCTTGGAGGTGATCGTAGCATGTCTGCTAGATGTAAGTGCGTGGTTCCAACCATGGATGCGATGGACACCTCTAAGACCAAGGCCTGCGATGAGTACTAAAGCATATATGGAGCCACCACATGCGATGGCAATGAACTTGCTACCAGTAGCATGCCACTCCAAAAAGTGCGATAAGTGACCTTTGTCTTTGAAGGGCGTCTTTGACTTCATTCTCATAAATCCCTTTCAGTTTGTAAGCCTGTCTTGAGGCGGATGCTTTCAAAATGTGTCATTTAATCGAGCTAAGTGAAGATTCTAGATGGCGCCACCTCTGACACTTAACAAACAAGCGTCATGAAATTAATCATGATCATGAAATTGATACGAATGTCCTTGCCCATCATTCCTCTACACCTCACCACCAGTGATAACAAAGATTCATCGTCCACAGATGGGACTTGCACAAAATTCCCAATATCTTGCAGCCATCGAAGTGGATCGTGAATAGAAGAGAGGACAATGTGCGGCTGCGAGCTCAGCATGATTGCGGTAGCCTGATCGCTGCAAGAAATCCTAGGATCGTCTAAGGGACGTCGACGCATGCACCTCGTCTGTGAGTTTGAGGACCACTGACGGCTTGCTCTGAGTCACCAGCATCATGCTCATGCACTTCCCCCACTTCCTCCGCCCCCATCTACTGATCCGCCCCCACTTTCCTCTCCATCTGCCTCCCATTCCTCTTCTTCCTCTCCGGGGCGCAAAAACATCCTTCATAGCTAGAGCTCGAGCTCTACGATATCGTAACCGACGTGCACCGCGGTTACAATCGTCGGATTAGCATTAGCAACACGTGGTAGATGGGGTCAAAACCCAGGCCCAGGGGGGCTCCCCTCCTGCAGCAAGAGTACTTTGATGGATGTCGGTGGTGAGACGAAGTTTTTTGGGGGGATAGTATGAATTCATTATCGACCTCAGCGTTACCAGCGTGGCCTCCGACGAGCTTGTAGATGTTACAGGGAGTTTCTCTCGGGTCATTCCGCTGTCTGCTGCAACTGACGTTTCAGATGCGACAGAATGAGAGTGCAGAGAAGTGGGGGTGGACGCTGGAGTGGGAAGGAAGCAGCGCGGATCAATTCCCTGGGAGAAGGGTGGATGCATCGGGGTGAGCGTTGCAGTAGGGCTGGGTGTTGAAAGGGATGGATGCATCGGGGTGAGCATTGCAGTAGGGCTGGGTGTTGGAAGGGAAGGATTCAAAGGATAATCTTGCGTTATCGCTAAATGTGACGCGGGTGTCAAATTAAAGGGTGTCAAATTGATCTGATATACGACACCGTTATCTGCTAAGGCCCCTTGACCATAACCCAGGAGAAAACCTGTATTCATGGAGGGCATGCAATGCGGGGGTCAGAGGCATGTTGTTTTCCAACATCTGCATAAGATCATCGGCGCTGTCTTCCAATAAACATAAGAGGTGTTAGCAGAATAAGTAAGGGTGCGAACTGGGCACGGGCCCTGTGCTGGATCCAGACAATTCCATTGAATTGAATTGTGCGTAAGCGCTAAGCGCCAAAACTTTACTTTGCACAGATATTACAAATCATCAAGCTTATGCCATCACCTCCGTTGTCATCGCATTCTCATCACTTCACAAGTTGTCCTATCCTGTCTGGCGGTTTACCAATGACTCAAGGTGACTTTATACTTCATTATTGAAAAAAACTAAGATAATGCATTGTCATTTAAATCAAAATTCATTGCATGTTTTTCCACCTTTTGATAACACATCATATGAAGTGCGTGCATGTGAACAACTGTCGAAAAGAATGACCATAATTTAGGGTTCGGACCGTGATTGGAGGGGCCCGGCATGCGCTTTCCACCAATCATGTTCTTCCGCCTTATGGGCTTCACCCATGTGTCGCGTCATGACAAGACTTCGATATCGAGCGACGGTCGCAATGCTCCTTACTCACCAATGCCACTGGTGTTTGAATTCAAGTTCTGAAAAAATAATAATCGTAAGTATCTGCTTCTATCGCGGGTATCCCTTGCAATAGTACTCATGTTTGTTTGTCATCCCATCGATAAACCTTTCGGTAAATCCCTGTCCCTGCGCCCCGCCACTGTGCATTCTACATCTTGACAACCAACTCTGCTTGTGTCCTCATCCTGCCATTCAAACACTTTCTGCGACATACAATGTCTTCATTTGTGCCCTTTTCCACCTGAAACAAAGGTCATATAAATCGGTGAGCAAGGAGAGTCATACCATTGATTGTGGCTAATTTTTGATGGATAAGGTCCAATCGCGAGGCATCATAGCCAAGACCGACAACGACGAGTACCAAAACCAAGTGGTAGCGCAGGCCCGCAAACTCAAGGCCGACCTTCAGCCAAGGGTCAGATAAGGACAGTGAGGAAGCTTACAAGGGCTCCTTTGAGATGCCGCAAGCGATGCGAAGGACGTCACTCGCAGGATTATCCAGGAGCTGGGACGCGACGAAGTACTCTTTCAGAATCTTGTTTGGCCGGAGGACCCTACCCGACCCCGCTGTGTGAAGGAGATTCTGAAGATATTTCGTGTGAAAGGGTTCCTCGACCAGAACAGTGAGTTCCCTATTCCATTATACATCATGTCAGCTTACGCGGATACATAGATCATTGGACGCCAGCGATAGCCTGCCAGATCTTACACAACCCCACCACGCCACACGCAGTAAAGGGCCAAGTACCGAAGATCTTATGGCCAATTTTTTTGAATCGATTGGTAGAAGAGGTGCTAACCTTACTCGGACCGTCTCATATCCATCGAAAGTGGTCCGCCGAGTATTGTCAGAAGGTCCTTCCAGGCTCGGCTGAAGATCGCAAACCCGACATCATCCTCGTTGATTCGGACTTACCTGAAGATTGGCGTAACCTCACTACCATTGGCGAGATGAAGAAGAGTGGCGTTGACATCAAAAATCCGCTATGGTATGATGAGGTGGCGAAACGGGCAAATACAATGTACGCCAGTCAGGATTCCCGTACTTTTGCCCCGGTCTTGCAATTCCTTGGTGCCCAGTTTACCTTCGTATTTTTTGATCGTGGTGGATCTGTTTGTCTTGACGTATTAGGGATACATGAAGATAGTGAGGAATACTTCAGGCTGGTATTGTACTTATCTTTGGCCCATCGCGGTGTGTACAATCATAAATCTATGTGTTTTCCAAACATGACAACTGTTGGTACAGGTCTACTGGGATTCGACCCCACAATCGTCCACGACCCTAACAGCGACATTCGTTTCATCCAAACCAAACACTTTGGGAAGGTACCGATCGATATGGTATTATTCATCAGCAACAACCTCAATGGCCGTGGCACTGTTGTCCGTCGGGTCACATTACCCAAAGATCAGATCAATCAAGCATTGAGAAACGGGCCGAACGGCGAGGCCTTGCAGAAATGGTTGAAGGGCATGGCTGACATGGAGTCGATTGTTGTCAAAGATACTTGGTTGGATCTCGCAACGCCTCATACAGAAGGCATGGTCCTGAACTATCTACGATTGAAAGGTGTTCAGGGCGTAACTCGATCTCTCTTTGAGGGACTTGTGCTTGTCCCCCCTGCATTTGTCCCGCCGGCACTTGCCTTGAAATACAAGGAAGCCCAGGCTCTACCGTGGCAGAGCACCGTGCACAATCGGCTTTCCTGGAATGTTCCAACACTCGCATTGGCTCGTCACAGCCTGACATCCAGTCTTAAAGCTCATGATGCCGAGCATGATCAGGGACTTGAACGCATGGATCGGGAAGTTTACCAGGAGCGTATTCTTACTCGACACTTCTTATACCCTCTATGTGCACCAATCTATGAATTTTCATGCGTCTATGAAGCTTTGACGGGTGTCATGGACTGTATCCGGGGTGAGTATCAACAATAACTGGTCTCAGCTGCTACTGAATGTATCGCACAGCACATGGTCAAGCCTATTCACCATACCGCATCTCAGACAATGGCTCTGAGAGTGATGAGCTATTCCCTCTATCGTTCATGCAAGCAGATACCTCGCTGTGGAACTTGGGACTTGTCCATCCCGACAAGTCTGACTGGGGTCACATAAACAATAGCAATATCAGACGTGGCTTGCTATTCGACCACGCATTTGCTTCCTGGGCCCCTCAAGACATTTCCTCGCGAGGACCGCTCCCACCCAAGATCTTTGAAGACAACACACGCCCTTCCTTGCCTCCGATTTCTCAAGACACTGCTCTCCCTCACACCACACCCAGTTCTCTCACCCCGTCATCCGTACCTCCTCAAGACGCTGCTGTCCTTCACACCTCACCCACTTCTCCCATCCCGTCTCCCCTACCTCTGCTTACACAGAGCACTCCGGCCATTCCAGTCGCCCCTGCACACCCTTTGCCCACAACTCGCAAGCCTCGGAAACGCAAAGCTGCTAAAACTTGTTCTGCAGGTCAGCAAGTTGATGCTGGTTCCAGTGTGCTTCCCGCAGGGGCTGTCGCTCAAGTTCAGCGAAAGCGGGGGATCAGTAGCATCGCAAATCCAGAACCCAGCACTTCAAAGAAACGCGCACTTCCTGAAGTGGCGAAGGTACAGGTAGAGGACAAAGGGTTCGTTCAAATCAAGGTGTCGGCATGGGGTGCTTCCAATGTGGAAGAGGACCTGCAGAATTTCGCTAATGGTGATGAGAACGGTGGGGGTCTTTATGAGCTGACGGTTAGTGCATCAACCACTATCATTATCTCTTCCTAATGGTACATTATTGACAGGGTACACGAGCATGGATGGCTGTGGATTCCATGTTTGCTCACAAACCAGGTGCAGCGCCTGTTCCACGTGTTGTGGCACACGACCTGGAAGGTTACTACTACGTCATTCTCAGCCTTGCCTTCATGTTCAACGAACCATACGTCTTGAAGCCACTTCCAGGCAGAGACGCCCCAGAAGAATCCGATCATTACCTTGGGATCTGGCTAGAAAATGCGACAGAGGAAGTTGCAATCTGGCGTGAGGCGGCAAGGAAGGAGCGCTTCTTCTGCAATCATGATGGTTTCCGACTTCTGGAAGGGCGGCTGGGTAGAGAGTGGTCCTGTGAGGCTATCAAAACGATGTTGAGAGAGATGCGGGATCTTCTCTTTTATGAGAAGGCAGTCACACATGCAGGCATGATCCGTATCATCCAGCGTGCACTCGACTCTCTATCTACAGATCATCCTGATCTCTGCAAGCCTGTGCCCATGACGGAAGAGTGGCGTAATGCGACAGGCGCCCCAGGAGTTACCACCAGTTCATGTCGCTTACCTGCAATGCGTATGAATATTATGCATCACCAGATCGGGCACGCAAATGCCAACATTGCATCCAATTTATTTGCGCGCATGCCCTGCCCCCCTGATGAAGAGCGAGCGCTTGGTCCAGCAAGCTCATCAAAAGTTTTGAAGGGCTCAGGAATGCGGACTCGCGATCGAGTTAGGCTTGTTGCACCCGCCCGTGTCAGTGGCAGCGAGTGGCGGGCTGATTTTGCATGTTGACTTCCTTTTGCGCTTAGTGATTGTCATTGGGGCTACTGTGTAGAGAGTATTGGACGCTTTCTTTTATCTTTATTTGATTCATATATGCCTTATCCCATTGTTTCCTGCTCTTTTTTACCTGATTGCCTGTTGTCTGTTTGCATCACGTTTTCCTTGTTGTCTGTAAGCATCACGCAGTTTGTTTAGAACATTTGTATTTCCAATGATGCTTTGGCGTAGCTTTGGGCCAGAAATAAGTACGACCTAAATATAACTCATTTGTATTGGACAACAGCTTAAAGGTTATCAAAACTGAAGAAGTCCCACCAACGTCAATCCCCCTGTTCTATTTCAAAAATACATGGTATCCCACATGCGTATGTTGGCTGAGGCCTCAATGCCTTATAGATGTCCAGCATCTGGTTGTACACGATCTTTTAGTACTCCTAAAGGCCTTAATGCTCACCTTCGAAATGCCACCAGCTGCAAGTGGTACAAGGCAGGAAAATGTCGTGAGTTGGATACAGAAGATGGGAGTACCAACCAAGATTCAATGGAGGATCTATCAAACACAATGGTGGATGAAGTAGATGATGAGCTTTTTCAACTAATACCACTAAATGCTCAGGGTGAGTAGCGCCTCCATTATTTTTATATTGGAAGAGGGAGGGCTTACTGTAAATATCAGGCCAATGGATGGATGCTGACCAGGGCTTTATGGACATAGATGATCCACTGGAACAGCCAGGAGTCCCTGGGCCATCCAGGCATGCACACTCCCTGCCAGATGAGGAAGATGATAGGGTGACAGAGTGGCATCCTCATGCTGGCAAAGTGATACGCATTGACCAAAACTTACATGCCAAATGGTGTCAGAAGTTTGGTTTAACAGAAGATGAAGATGATGTGGAGATGAACGGAATAGAGATGGAGGAAGAAGATCGTTTATTCTATCCATTTGCTTCGCGTTTGGACTGGGAGGTGGCTTGTTGGGCAGTGCAAGAGGGTATAGGACACAAGGCTTTTGACAGATTATTGGCTATTCCAGGGGTAAGTGTATTGAGCATTTATGAAGTTTTCATATCAACTAATGTGCATTTAGGTTAGAGAACGTCTAGGGCTTCAGTATCACAATACTAGATCACTCCATCAAACTGTAGACAGTATCCCAGCTCGTGCTAAATGGCAGTCAACCCATCTTGCCTTCCATGATAAGCCTCAACATAAGCATGAGCTGCACTATAGAAACCCTTTAGATGCTATCCAGGCATTATTGGGTAATCCTGCGCACGCTAGGGATATAGTCTACAAACCATCAACTATATTCACCGACTCTACACATTCAACCAGGATCTATAATGAAATGTGGAGTGGAAGATGGTGGCATGCTGTTCAGGTGGGTGTAAGATTATCTTGGAGAACATAACATTTCAATTAATGACATTGCAGGATAGACTACCTGACGGAGCATCTGTAGCACCTGTTATCATTGCCTCAGACAAAACTCAGCTCACACGATTCTCAGCATCAAAATCTGCATATCCCGTGTACTTAACTTTGGGAAATATACCCAGAGCCATGCGACGTAAACCTGGACAACATGCCTGTATACTGATAGGCTACTTATCAGTGGATAAAGTGTTGAAGGAGGAGCTGTCTGTCAAAGAAGCGTCTTCTAGAACTCAAAGACTTTTCCATGAATCCCTACGCATCATTTTGGAGCCATTGAAGCAGGCAGGAAGGACTGGAGTAGAGATTACAGGAGGGGATGGCCTAGTCCGTCTAGTTTTTCCCATTATAGCTTGCTATGTGGCCGACTATCCAGAGCAATGCTTGGCTACATGTTCCAAGTACGGGACTTGTCCTAAGTGCAAAGCTAGAGCGGACCAGTTAGCAGAAGTTCAACAATTTGCTAGACGCACGCAGTCATGGACAACCTCTGTCATCAATGAAGCCAATACCAACACAAATTCCAATGCAGCTTTTCGTCAGCACTGCATGTCACAAGATGTTGCAGGAGGTGTCTTTGAGCCATTCTGGCTTGATTTTCCTCTTTGTGATATCCACCTGGCAATAACATCAGACGTTCTCCATCAATTATATCAAGGAGTATTCAAACATATTGTGGAGTGGTGTCAAGAACTTATGGATGAAGAAGAATTGGACCGACGTATAAAAGCACTCCCCCCCTGTTATGGTGTACGACACTTTCATAATGGTTGGTCTGGTATGGGTCAAATAGGAGGCAAGGAGAGAAAACATATGGCTAGAGTGCTATTAGGTTGTCTTATTGGCAAGGTTCCAAGAGGAGTTATCCAGGCATATCGTTCCCTCCTGGATTTCATATATCTGGCTCAATATCCAACTCATGACGACACCACTCTCCAATATATGCAAAAGGCTCTAGAGGACTTCCACCAACACAAGGAGGTTATTATCAATCTTGGAGTCAGAGACGACATAGACATCCCAAAATTCCACTCTCTGCAACATTATTTGGAGAACATCAAAAACTTTGGCACCACCGACAACTATAATACGGAGATGTTTGAGAGGTTTCATATAGACTTCTGCAAGGAAGCTTGGTATGCGTCAAATGGCAGAAATGAGAAGCCTCAGATGATAGCATGGCTAACTAGAAGGGAAAAGGTTTCCTCCTTTCAGAGTTATCTGAAAATGTCTATGGAGGATGAGGAGGAGGAGTTTGCGCACTCTAGATTTGGGGATCAAAGACTCCTTTTAACCAAGAGACCTCATCAAGCTAGGCGACACATTCTGGATGTCATTCAAGATCATAACTGTCAAGGCTTCAAGAAAGATCTTATTTCGTATCTCAATTCACAGCTTTCTGATCCACACTCAAGAGGACGACTACGACACATGGATCTACCTTTTAGCCATATAGACATTTATCATGGGTTCAAGTTTTGTCTTGACTCCTTAGGAAACGACAATGATTTTGATCAGGAGGAGACAGATACAGTCAAAGCCAAACCCTCTTTAGGAGGTAAACCTGCACGCTTTGACACTGTGGTTGTGATGGATACTTCAGATTGTGAAACCACTGGTCTTAAAGGTAAGTTTCAAGTTATTAAATATTCTATGCCAGTGAGTAATTTAACCCTACCTATAGGTACAAGAATTGGTCGCTTGAAGGTCATTTTCAAATTACCTTCACAAGTATATGGCTCCGTTACTCCTGCTTGGACTAAGGATCCACTGGCTTATGTTGAGTGGTATGCACCTTTAAAGCCTGCTGCTGAAGATTATCATGAAATGTATCTTGTCAAAAAATGTCTATCTAACGCAGATGGCTTTACCCCAGGCCAAGTTATATCTCTATCTTCTATTAGACAGACATGCCAACTCATACCAAACTTTGGACGTACAGCTTTACCAATTGAATGGACCTCAGATAGTGTTTTAGATAGATGTGATACCTTTTTTCTTAATTGTTTTACTTCCAAATACGCATATCAAACTTTATGGTAAAATTCTTTTAATTATATCACATGAAGTTTTCTATAGTGCTGTATAGAGCCCCACAGCTGCCTATAGTCTATACAACACTATACTAGCTATCACAGACCGTAGCACCTATATAGAACAACAGTTTTTCCTGATGCGTCGACTTCGACCGGAGGTGGAGGGGGCTGGATATGATTAGGAATTGTGTTCGGAACAGATGGTTCTAACTGCAAGACGTGGAAAACGGGATGGACGGATTTCATGGATTCGGGGAGTCGGATGGTAAAGGAATGTGTACCCGGACGAGATATGACTTCAAATGGACCTAGGTTCTTTTCCGAGAGTTTCTTAGATGGGCGAGTGGACCGGAAGCACTTAGCCTTGACAAAGACTTGATCTCCGATATTGATATCCGGAGCAGGTTTCCGTCTAGCGTCCGCAGGTCCTTGATATCTTTCTTGGGCATGAGCCATTTCTTCTCGGAGGAATTGATGAAGGTTGTCGAGGTCTATAGCATAGTCGTGAGCACGGATGGAGGATAGATCGCGTTCCGGATGGATGGATATGTTCGGATGATAACCCTTATTAGCAAAGAAGGGCGATACTCCAGTAGTAGCACTTGAAGCGTTATTGTAGGCAAACTCTGCTAAGGGAAGTAGTTCCGACCAGTTGTCCTGCTGATAATTGCAATATATCCGAAGGTATTGTTCTAGGGTTTGGTTGGCATGCTCGGTTTGTCTGTCCCCTTCCGGATGATATCCGGATGTGAAGTGGAGGACCATATCCAATGCTTTTCCTAAGGACCGGAAGAAGTGGGATACGAATTCTGTACCATGGTCCGAGGTAACATGGGACGGAACTCCGTGCTTGGAAAACACGTGAAGTAGGAACAGGTGAGCGAGGTCAGGAGAGGTAATGGTATTGTAAGTCGGAACAAATATTGCTTGCTTGGATAGCCGATCTATGATAACGAGGATGGCTGTAAAGCCGGATGAGTCCGGAAGTTGCTCTATGAAATCCATAGAGATGGAATTTCATGGCTTTTCCGGTATGGGGAGTTGTTTGAGCAATCCATAGGGCTTATGTCTCGGAACCTTGGCTCGGGCGCAGGTAGTGCAGGATCGGACGTAGTCCTTAACATAGGTGCGTATACCTGGCCATGTATACTCGCGTCAGATGAGGTCTAAGGTTCGGTTTTGACCAAAGTGTCCGGATAAGGGGTGATCATGAGTATTACAGAGGACGCGAAGTCGGAGGTTATCAGATTCTGGAACATATATACAGTTGTCGCAACGGAGGAAACCACTATCGTCCACTGTCCATCTCGGATCCAAAGGTACCAGAAGATGGTTGGTTGCAATAGGGTCATTAGGGAGTGCGGTCAGGATGTCTTTCCGAAGGTCATCAATATCCATTAGAACAGCTGCTCTGAGAACTGGAGTTGCTAAGGTTGAGGCTCGTAGGGACGAAGCTAACTGTTTGGACGTGAATACTGGATGGAAGTTATGAGGGTTAACTCGAGCGTAGTCCTTATCCCCCTCTTTGGGATAGACGTCCCAGCATCTAGTAAGGGAATCCGGTTTAACTCCGAGTTTTCCGGGACGGAAACGGATGATGAGATTGAACTGATGGAGGAATTCCGACCAGCGAGCCTGACGGCGAGAGAGGAGTTTGGTAGTGGCCAAGTACTCAAGGTTTTTGTGGTCCGTAACAACATCTACAGGCTCGGCCGAGCCTTCTAGATAATGTCGCCAGGTCCGGAAAGCTTCGTATATAGCTAGGAGTTCCTTGTTGTGGGTGTCGTAGTTGAGTTCCGGAGCGGTTAGCGTACGAGAGTAAAACGCTACCGGACGAAGCTCTGAGTCCGGACATACAATGGAAAGTATTCCGGCTATAGCATAGTCAGAGGCATCGGTTTCCACTACTATAGGAACATCTGGCATCCAATGAGTAAGCACTGGAGCGGTAGTGAAAGCTTTCTTAAGTTCTTTGAAGGATTTTCGACAATCTTCGGAAAAGTTCCACGGAGCATCCTTGCGTGTAAGCCGTGTTAACGGAACCACGATATCCGAGTAGTTGAATATAAACCGTCTATAGAAATTTGCGAATCCAAGGAAGGACTGGATATCCTTGACTTTCTGAGGTTCCGGCCAGTCAGTAATAGCTTGGATCTTCTTGGACGACATAGTCAAGCCGTCCGGAGATAGGAGGTATCCGAGGTATTCAACAGAAGTGGAATGGAATTCGCATTTTTCGGATTTGGCATAGAGACGATGTTTACGGAGTCGACGGAGTACTTCTCGGACGTGTTGTTTGTGGGACGCAAGATCATGGGAATAGATAAGGATGTCGTCCAGATATACAATAACGCATACATCCAGCATATCAGCAAACACGCTATTGACAAAGCGTTGGAATGCTGCTGGAGCGTTAGTGAGACCTTCCGGCATTACCAACCATTCATAAGAGCCATAGCGTGTTTGGAAGGCAGTCTTCCATTCATCCTCTTCCGCTATCCGGATGAGATGATAAGCGGATCAGAGGTCGATTTTGGTATAGACTTTAGCGCGGCTCGGAGAGTCTAATAGGTCGGCAATGAGGGGTAACGGATATCAGTCTTTCTTAGTGATCTGGTTGAGTCCACGGAAATCCACACAAAGGCGGAGAGAGCCGTCCTTTTTCTTGACAAATAGGACCGGAGCTCCGTGAGGAGAGGATGAGGAGCGGAGGAGTCCAGAGGCAATATTTTCATCAAGAAACTTCCGGAGGGCTGCAAGCTCAATTGGGGATAGAGAATAGGTAGTTCCGAGGGGAGGACTAGTTCCTTCTTCCAGATCTATGTTCAGATCATAAGGACGATGTGGAGGAAGTTGGCCAGCCTTTCCCTTGTCGAAGACATCCGCAAACTCGTGATAGTCCGAAGGGATTTTGGATAGATCCGGAGGATCGGACGAGAGAGACACGGACCGGAGATCGACACCGGATGGACGAAGGTATATACTGAACTGGACCGATCCTTCTAACTTGCAGGCCCAGCAAAAGGCAACTGCATTGATTAGGGATATGTTAGGAACGGTGTTATCAGTGGAGGGTACAGATGTAGTCGGAGGAGGTATGGTTTCCATCAAAGGAGGGATATCCGAGGACGGAAGTGACGTCGGAGGGGTCGATGGCATTCCATGAGATGTCGTCCAGAATTTGATGCTGCCCAAAACCCAGTCAATCAACGGATTGTGTCGGGTGAGCCAGCTATATCCAAGAACGATAAAACAAGATGAATCCAAAGGGGTAATGTAGAACGTATCGGAGGTGACTACACCGGACGGAAAACGGACAGACAAATCTATAGCTTCGGAAATAATATTATTACAAGTACCATCAAACAAATGGAGCGGAATCGGAGGTATCAGATATGTAGGGAATTTATGTTTTCGGACGAACGCAGTGTCTATGAAACAATGAGAAGAACCACAATCTACAAGAGCTGGAAAATCGGATACGGATGGGAGTAACGGAAGTGAAACATATGGACAGAGGGAAGTCGGATCCGAGAGCGCGACAGCGTTGAGTCTTAACTCCTTTGTGCAGGCAGAGTCAATGCGACCCTCTTCCTGCACGGAGCTAGGAGGGTCGCAGACTATTTTTTTGTCTCAGTAGAGACCTCCGGTTTGACTTCCGGAGCGACTACTGCAGCGCGACCTTTGGCAGCGCGCGAAGTAGACTTATTGCATTCCCGAGCCGTATGGCTGGGTCCGCCACAGAACAAGCAGAGCTTCTTGTCCAATCTTCTCTGCCGCTCTTCAGACGTTAACTTTCCATCCTTACCCAGCTTGGAATTAAGGTCCGGAACCCTAGGAGTGGACGAGCTCGAGGACGCGGATGGCTTTGCAGATATCTGGTTATTGGAGTTGGAGTTTCCGGATTTGTTATTTCTGGATCTGGACGCATTGGCGTTGGTCTGGTCAGAAGCGGATTGCTTAGGGGTAGTGGATGAAGCAGGTTTAGTCTCTCGGGAGATCTCTCCCTTCCGTTCCCAGTATCAGGCGTCGATAGTCTGAGCGAGGGTTTTGTATTTGGAAAGAGTAGAGGGTTTACCCATGCGACTGATTTCATCCTTGATATGGGCCGGAAATCCGTTATAGAACTGGCGTCGTAAGGCTCCGTCACCCCAGCCACGGACCTGTGAAGCAAGACGCTGGAATTCCACAACGTACTTGTTGATGCGCTGTCCGTCACGCATGTGGAGCTGTTTGAGCTGCATTTCTGCATCACCAGATGGGTCGTGAGGTCCGAAATTGGTTTGGAGTTCAAGCATGAACGCGGAATAATCGCTCATCCAATCCAGACGATCGTCCAAATCATCGGACAGGAGATCCGGTTCAAACCATTCAAGAGCCATACCCTTAAGGTAGGATTGGGCGAAGTTGACTTTAGCCCTTCCGGTACGGAAAGCCTTAGGCTTGCTCTGGAAGTTAAGCTCACACTGGACGAAGAACACACGGAGCTTCTGTGGTTCAGATCTGTCAAAGGTATCCGGTTCGCGGACCTTGACTTTGGAATCTTCGGATGCGGGTGCGCGACAATTATTGCGAGCAAGGTTATTGATGGCTTCTGATAGTCGAAGCATAATGTGGTCCTGTGGGTTTAGGCCGTCGTTTTCATCGTCATCATCGTCTGGATCATCATCCGGATCACCACCGTTGTCATTGGGTGGATTACCAGGGAAATCATCATCACCATCATCAGGATTGTTAAGACCGTACTCAAGTAGTATCGGATCCAAAGGGCTTCGGCCTCAGCTCGTGCGCTGTGCCCCTTTCCCGAGTCTTGCCCCTTATTTCAGAGAGCTAAAGTATCGCGTCTAGTGAGACGGATAAGTATTGTAACGGATAAGTCTTGTATCGCAACGGATCCATTAAGACTTCCGGATATCGAACGTATAGAGTAACGGCTAATCCGGATCGGATCCGGACTAGAAACTAACGGGTGAGGACTGTCCGAATGACAGAGGCGGATATGTAGACTATAGGAATCTATCCTAAGTCTCGGAGTAGACAAGAGTAGCGTACTCAAGTCCGGACGGATAACAGGGGGACTTAGAGTCCAGATGGAATGAGTGCAATCTAAGATGATATTCAAACTGATCTACTACAGCGCATATACAAAGGTTTATATACTACGGATAGCTAACGGAATGATCAATAAGCAAAGGTGCGAGGCTATGAACGAAAGTATAAGCAAAGCCTAAGTGGAGCGTATTGGTAAGTCGGATGGATCATGAATCATGAACCGGGAATGAAGTACAAGTAAAAGCGGATTCGTAAGTGTAGTGGATCAGTAAGCAAAGCGGAAGTAAAGGATAACCGGTATACCGGTGTACAGGAATACCGAAAGGAGATGAACGATAGTTAGAGTTATATGAACAGGAAATGAAATAAGAATCAAAGTGGATCTGTGGACCGGACGACGGATATGTTCATCGGATCTGGATCGGATCTGAGATCCGGATCATAAGGATCTGTAACCGGATATATGGTATATGACAAGGATCATCATCATCGTCTGGAGGTCCTGCGGCAGGAGTGCGTGTAGGGGTTTCCAGGTGTCGACGATTTAGGAGTTTGGATATGGTTTGAGCGGGTCCATGACTAACGCGTCGCTGAGAGAAACTGGTGAAGGTGTTGACTATGGGTGTCGGATCACGACGGAGGGAGGTAAGTCCGACCGCGTGCAGAGTTGTTTGTGTCTTGGTTGGAGGCACGATAGGTGTAAGTAACTCGGAAAGGTATGAGTTCGAATATACTGTTAAGACCGTACTCAAGTAGTATCGGATCCGAAGGGCTTCGGCCTCAGCTCGTGCACTGTGCCCCTTTCCCGAGTCTTGCCCCTTATTTCAGAGTACTAGAGTATCGCGTATATTGAGACAGATAAGTCTCGTAACGGATCCGTTATGGCTTCCGGATATTGAACGTATATAGTAACGGCTAATCCGGATCGGATCCGAACTAGAAACTAGCAGGCGAGGACTGTCCGAAGACAGAGACGGATATATAGACTATAGGAATCAATCCTAAGTCTCGGAGTAGACAAGAGTATTGTACTCAAGTCCGGATGGATAACGGAGGGACTTGGAGTCCAGACAGAATGAGTGCAATCTAAGATGATATTCGAACTGATCTGCTACAGCACATGTACAAGGGTTTATATACTACGGATAACTAACGGAATGATCAATAAGCAAGGATGCGAGGCTATGTACGAAGTATAAGCAAAGTATGTGTACAGCATATTGGTAAGTCGGACGGATAACGTATCATAACCGGGAATGAAGTCTAAGCTAAAGCGGATCAGTAAGTGTAGCGGATCAGTAAGCATAACGGAAGTAAAGGATAACCGGTATACCGGTGTACAGGAATGCCGAAAGGAGATGAACGATAGTTAGAGTTATATGAACAGGACATGAAACAAGGATTAGATTGGATCTGTGGACCAGACGACGGATATGTCCATCGGATCTGGATTGGATCTGAGATCCAGATCTTCGGATCTGTACCCGGGAATATGGTATATGACAGATAATGACATCATTCTGAGTCACTATGAGTCACTATGAGTCACTATGAGTCATTATGAGTCATTGGAATGTTCTAGCAAATTCCATGGAACATGACATCATTATGACATCACTATGATATCATATCTTTCAACAAAATACCTGCAGGAGTGTAGGTGAAGTCCTATGACATCATTATGACATCATACCCTGTAGGTACACAATACGCGGGCTTTTTAGATAGGTTTTTGTTAGGCTTTGAACTTTTCTCTATGGGTTTCTCTAGCCAAAGTGAATAAGCCAAAGGAAAGGCAATACCTTAACCTTCATTTTGCTTCTCATATCAACTAGGTCATTATGTGATTCCCATCTCACATATGACTTTTCTTCAAAACATGGTGGATTCATGAATCACTGAGGGAAAACTGAAACTATTGGACCAAGGTTTGATACCAAGGTATGGGTTGACTAGTCTGAGGACTAAGCTAACAGACTTTGTCTTTTAGGGGGATACCTAGTAGTCATGTCCATGCATGATTCCCAAATCATGCAGGACACCAGGACATGAATTCTGGCATAATGGACATTAGGATGCTAGAGATACTGTAGTTGCATGTATGGTCAAGAAGCAGACATCTGTGCAAGCTCATGGTGTGTTCATAAGGCGTCAAAACATCTGTTGGATGGTCACATGGTGGGCACAGCTCAGTTGTTGGTATTGGCCAAAGACTTGGTAGAAGCTGCTACAACGGTGAAAAAAGGGGATTGATTGAGAGCACCACAGTAGCGCCAAAAAATGACAAACAGAACTTGTTTAAGGTAGAGGTCTTGTGGATTCGACCAACGTCACGTGACAAAGTGTTACATTGAGTGACAAATTACAAAACGGAGGTTAACTGTTCAACCAGGAAACGAGAACAAAATCTGTAATATCAGAGGGTAGACAATGCATTTATGCAGACATTGACATTTTCTGAATGAGCAGAAGTGGAAATATGAGTTAGTTAACTATGTTTCTGTAAATTCACCCTCCTAGTGGAGGCTTAAAGTCTGTCAAGACTCCGAATGCAGAGGTGCCGTGATGCCGAGAGTGTCACCCGGTGCAGAGCTCATGGTTGAACATTGAAACGTTGACCAGCTGCGCGCACAAAAGTGTTGTGGTGCAGGCCTTAAAGCATGGTGGGCATCCAAGCGACAAAAAATAAGTTCAGACACCTCAGAAAATGATAAAAATGCGAGCAGCTCAACTTCCAATGCTACAAAAACGGCTGTATCGGGTGAAGGAGCGATTCTCATCAGAAGATGCTCTCGAGCGCAATGTTATTGCATCACTCGACGCTGTTCCATTGGAGTCGATACGACGGTGAGTGACTTCAATCCCACTTGAAAAGTTGGAATTCAGGGGTTGATAAATATTTTGATCTTTGACAACCAATCTTCAGCTTTGCCATGCAGTCCACAAGATATATCGATGCTTATCATAATGGCCTCAATGGCGCACAGGCTGCATGGGCAATAAAAAATTTCATGGTCATCGTGTTCTCCCACAATCAATTATGGACGAGTTTGATCATTTCCCATCAACAAATTAGTATTCCACTTTTCTGAAACTCATTTGTTATTATGCAACCTCTTAATCTACCTGTCATATACCATATTCCCGGGTACAGATCCGAAGATCTGGATCTCAGATCCAATCCAGATCCGATGGACATATCCGTCGTCTGGTCCACAGATCCAATCTAATCCTTGTTTCATGTCCTGTTCATATAACTCTAACTATCGTTCATCTCCTTTCGGCATTCCTGTACACCGGTATACCGGTTATCCTTTACTTCCGTTATGCTTACTGATCCGCTACACTTACTGATCCGCTTTAGCTTAGACTTCATTCCCGGTTATGATACGTTATCCGTCCGACTTACCAATATGCTGTACACATACTTTGCTTATACTTCGTACATAGCCTCGCATCCTTGCTTATTGATCATTCCGTTAGTTATCCGTAGTATATAAACCCTTGTACATGTGCTGTAGCAGATCAGTTCGAATATCATCTTAGATTGCACTCATTCTGTCTGGACTCCAAGTCCCTCCGTTATCCATCCGGACTTGAGTACAATACTCTTGTCTACTCCGAGACTTAGGATTGATTCCTATAGTCTATATATCCGTCTCTGTCTTCGGACAGTCCTCGCCTGCTAGTTTCTAGTTCGGATCCGATCCGGATTAGCCGTTACTATATACGTTCAATATCCGGAAGCCATAACGGATCCGTTACGAGACTTATCTGTCTCAATATACGCGATACTCTAGTACTCTGAAATAAGGGGCAAGACTCGGGAAAGGGGCACAGTGCACGAGCTGAGGCCGAAGCCCTTCGGATCCGATACTACTTGAGTACGGTCTTAACACTACCTTAACTTCACCGTGCCAAAGTCATTACACTTCTACTGTACTTACTGTAGCTTGGCATACCATTGCCGGCATACATTCGGCATACATTTGGCATGGCTTATGCATGCAGCGTCACACCATGTCACACGCACGTGATGTTGGTCGAATCCACAAGTCCTCTACCTTACCACCAGACGTATACATGTACAAATAAAACGTCGTTGTGTTTGGGTCCTGGGATGACTGGAACAGGATGAATGAATAGGAAATATTATGTAATCACATAAGTTTTATTGGGTTTAATTTTATTTATACTAAGCTAATGGGTCGTGTGATAACTAGCGTTGTTGCGAGCGACGTGTTTTGTTTGAGTCTGACTCAAATATCTTCCACTCTTAGCGGGTGTGTTCGGCGTTTGATCATGTTTGCCATGGTCAGTGCGCCTTTCACGTTGTACTCAAGGATTAGGCCAATCCTTTTTTCAGGCTCCGTCCTCCTATGGTGGAGCTATGCTTACTTAGCGGGCGACTTTGAGTTAGATTGAGTTTGCCCTCTTTCTAACCTTTCTCGTCGCCTCGCTTGGTGAGCTCGAATCATGTATCTAAGTGAAAGCTCTTTCTAACCTTTCTCGTCGCCTCGCTAGCTAGTTTTTTGATCACCCACCACTCCCTCCTGCTTGGTATTCTACTAGTGTAGCATTCATCTCTTCAGTTTTTGTCTTTTTGAAGCTGTACTCCCAGTTGTCGCGTCATTCTACTAGTTAATAATTGCAGCTGGTCCCTCTGTGCACTGAGGGACCGTTTTTGGCTATACCGGCGGGCGCGCGCCTCCATAAATCGTGCGAGGCCCATTAGACATGACAACCTGACCTTGCGGAGCAAGGTGATAGTTTTGGAATCAGCTGTAAGGCAAATAAGGAGCAAATAAGGAACTCGATGATTTCCTGATGCACTGCTGGAGGCCTGCGAGGGAATGCAAGAGTAAGTGCTATTAATAGATGGCGGGGTGGGTCTCAGAGACTAAGTAGTTTCCCATAACATAGAAACCGGATTTTTATAGGCACCGAGAAGTGCTACATGACCCTCTATTGTACTCATCTTGTAGAAGCACTGGTTTCTTCTTCTGTACTACTCAATCATCTGCAAGCATGAGCTCGGGAGATTCACCATCAGAAGACAAGAGTACAGACAGTCTGGCAGTAATCAAACAGCTTCCTCCTGATCTCCTTCTCATTGTCTTCATTCATGGGTTTGTGTAAACAATGCAAGTTAGAAGGCTCCCCAATTAACAGTGCGTAGATTCAAGGGAACTGATACGACATTCAAGAACTTCCCTTCGAGGATAGAGCATGTCCTGACAGAAATCATAGAGAACCTCAAGGTGGAATGTATATTATTTCCCGCATACGAGGTTAGGGCATTCTCTTCACGTTGCCGTTTAGGCCGCTAACTTAGAGTCGTGTAGACCAAAGGACAATTGGTGCGCGATGATCACCTCAACTTTACACGCAGATGGAGACTCCCCTTCAGAACGCCGCAGTAGAACACTTCGCCGACTGGCTGACTACTCTGACCGTACAAAGAGAAGTTGCAAATGGCCAAGGGGGGTGGAGCTGGGAAAACCAAAATTGTACTATGTGGCCACAGGTGAGCAGAAATCCAAGCATGGTGATTGTAATCCGATTGATTCAAGTCATTCAGTATGGGAGGGTTGCTTGCTGCTGACGCTTTACTTGCGTTTGTGAATTCCAGACCTGATAAAAACGCTCCACTGTGGCCGAAGATCATCGCGTGCATAGCCTTCGACACTCCCGTGAGTTAGCTAACCGTTATCTCATATTCTCCTACTGCCGTTAATCTATTGAAGTACCTTGGTCTTCACCCCGCTGTATTCAAGAATAGTGCAACTAAGGCTGTGGAATACGCCGGTGCAGCCCGCACTGTTGTTTCAGATGTGTTTTCATTGTTTGGCAAGAAAGGAGCATCGTCGACCGTCTCTGGGCAACCCCCTCTTGCGATAGCAGCGCCCCCCACTGGGGAAAGTGGCTGGGGAAAGTGGGCTCCTGCAGCGTATGCTGTTGGTGGAGCGCTGGTGGCTAGCGCAGCCGCTGGAACAGCATACTACCGTCGAGACGACATTGGTTCTGGATACAGCTGGGCTACTGATCACATGAATTACGTTCGCAATCTCTGGGATGAGGAAGCATTGCGAAAACGTATGCGAGATTTGAATGATGTTCAGGTACACCTTGGGGTCACATTCCGCTCGTACGTCCACCAGAGCAAGAATCATTGGGTGCCTTCCTTGACTTTTGGGTCATTCCAGATTTTACACTTTACTTCCACCAGCTCCACCTTCATTCTCGTCGCCGAGGACGTTCGTCATCCTTCCTCAGAGAACATCTCCTATAGCTACGCATTTCCTTCCCGCAATAAATCACCAGGCTGCGGATGAAATCCAAGCGCACACCAATATGTTTAATCCAAGATCTAACGATGGCTACTACCAGTTAGGGCTCGATACGGCCAAGATCATTCGGGAAGCTGTCATGGCAGCTAGAGGTATTACTGAGAGTGGCGATACTGAGGCTCGGAAAGATGTTGAAGCAGCTGCTGCAATGGAAGAGACATTGCCCGATCAGGTGGAGAGCGATGTAAAACCGTAGCCAGCAAGAGTGACAATAATTCGTTAAGTGTCAAATATATAGCTGTAAACTATTAGTCTGCCCACATTCTCCTTCGCACTAGTGTTCGAACGTGAGCTGCATCGCATATGCATCTTCTCCATCTGCATCTAAAGAACGCGGGATCAAATAACCATATGACAAAGCGGTCTAGGAACTTACAATACTTTTCCTCGATATTTTTGACGGTAAACCCAAGCGTGTCGCGATACAGACTTAGTGCCGCACGATTCGACTTGCGGACGTGGAGAGACACGAACGCTGCGCGGTAGATGCTGCTCATCGCCTCCTCTGAAATAAAAGAACACGTCAATGGTTATTCTAGCCTGGACAAAAAGTGAATTTACGTGATTGAAGCATCAATTTTTTAGCCAGCCCAAGTCGACGATATGATCTCATGACAGATATTGAGGTGACATGCCCATGAGGAACATGATTAGTTGCAGGCTGCCCTTCTTGCTCATCAACTTCCTCCCTGCGATCCAATTAGAATACAGTCCAGCTACAAAAACGTTTGACGCACATTTTTGCCAGAATATAACCAACAATCCGTCCATTGTGGTCCTCGGCCACATACGAAAGTGAAGGCCAAGATAACGCGTGATATAGATCTGGCCACGAATTCTGTCAGTCTCAGCGGTCTGAAGAAATTAGGCGAAAGACGCGAACAGTATTTCATTGTATAGTTCTCGGGAAGATTGTGGAGGTTGCAGTCTTGCATACCTGCAAGATCTTCGACCTGGTGAAAATAAGCAGCTTACGCGCCTTGGGAGTTGCAAGCGTACCCTAACTGCACGGATATTCATGTTGGAACTTAGAATGTACTTGCCTTAGTTTCCCGACAGCGTAGCAGGGTAGAGCAGGTCCCAACAACCCTGCTCGTGCGAGTGTCAGTAGTTGAGTGTTACTTAGTTGAGATCGTGAGAGCTAACCACCTGCATGCACCAATCAGTACCTCTACCCAGCAACAGCTCTGATTGCCTCCACATAATCACTATAAGTACCATAAATCCTACACGACAGCACTAGTGATAAACGATACAGTCAAAAAGAACAACAACAACTGGCGTAATGATATAAATATTCCAGGTTTTGGGTTACAACAAAAAAAGGTTGCGCAATGCGTTTGGGGACGTGTAATGACCATGCTTGATATAAACTTGTGGGTCTACTTACTGCGGACGCAGACGTTGGCTATTCAGCGCTCATTTAGCGAGGCTGACCGCCATTCCCAGCTGCATCGCTGGTGCTATTTACATTTCCTGGGGCCCAGGGGTTTGGGATATTTGACTCAGGGACCTGCCCACCCGAAGTCGAGCCGCGGCCGAAGAAAAAATGCTCAGCAGCGTGGAAGGTATTTCGAAGGCTTCTCCGGACGCTCCTGCCTCTTCCTTCAGTGTCACGGGGGTCTGTCGGAGGGCCGAGAGTAGCCTGAACGGATTCTTGTAACTCATGGCTGTTGTGCGAAGGGATGTCGTACAAGGGCTCAGTGCGCATGGGTGGCCATGGCACGAGGCGGTCGGAAGATCCGGTGGAGGGGGTAAGATAGTAGTTGTTAGTCATCTTCGCTTGTTCTATCATCAAAGCATGACGTTCGGGGTTCTGCCCGTGGCGAAAATCAAAATTCGCAGAGTGCATCACTTGGGTGATGCCCTGGGCCGAAGGCCCCGCAGCGGCATTGAATGACGCTGTTGAGGTAAAGCTGTGTCTTGCCAACTGATGAGGTGGTGGACCGATGTGGTCAATATTATCATGCTCTGCACCCCGGCCATGACCTATCTCCGCAAAGTTGTAATCGGGGGTTAGAGCGCCATTACTTCTACCAGAAGATGATGATGGCTCTTGATATGTGCGGAAAAAACCCCGCTCCGTTCGATTGTGTGCCAGTACTGCGATTGGATGCGACGTCGCTCTGAGGCGGGGAAGTGGAAATTTCAATGACGGGCTGATAACCAAAGCGAGGACGTCTCATAACGGGATTGGACGACCCCGATACAGGTTGCGGATTAAGAGCGTATGACACAGGCGGCGGTTGACTGTTAACAGAGAAAACGGCTGGAGATGAGGCAATGGAGACATGACCTGGTCGCAAGGTCATATCGCGCTGCATCGTAAGCTCGGGGTGCTGCGAGATAGGAGTGATGATTTCTGGGTGATGATGCATGCGGAGCGTGGAGGAAGCTGGCTGAGGCGTGTGGTGGAAGTTATATCTTCCATCGTGCATGAAGTCTTCGTCAACATCACCATCCATTCCACGCTCCATATCAGCATCCATAGCACCTTCAACGAATTCTTCGTCAAAGTCGTCGTCGTACTCCGTTTCATCATCATCAGCGTTCATATCTTCCGTGATCGTATTAAATAAGTCTGTCAAGAAGCTTCTCAGTTTAGCAACGCCGCTGCCCGAGTAGACACAAAAGGCCATCCTTTGGCTCATATTGAACTCCTAAAGGACTGTCAATAGTTGATCAGACATGAGCATTTGCACCGCTGACCTGTGGAGGTTGACGACAGAACTGCTGTAATTCGGGTTTTCTGAAAGAAGGGATACCCGTCAAGCTCAGATGAGTGAGCTTGTGGAGCTTTTGCAATAGGAAGTGGACAGCCATGACCGATATTTGATCACAGTAGGAAAGATGAATACGTTCTAGAGTGCTGTGTCGCTCAGCGAGAGCGTATATTGCTTCGTCTGTCAGATTGCTGACGCGCACAAGACCAATTCTTCTGAGCTTGGGTAAGCTGGAGAGTTCGAAGACGGACATGTCAGTGAGAAGAACGCAGTCTGTTGTATAGAATTAAATTTTATTCGACAGCGAAAGAGAAGAGGACGCACTTGCAAAGTCAACATAACGCAAGCGGGTGCAGCACCGTGCAAGCGTCTTAATCGAGCGGTCCGTGATGTTGGCTGCATGCCCGAGATGCAAGTAGTGTAGATGCTTTCCAAGAACACAAATATTCTCTACAGTCCTATCCGTCAATTGGATGCATTTCGAGAGAACAAGGTTCCGAATTTTTGAGGCATGGGAAATAATCCCGTCTACAGCGTCGTCCGTGATAAGCGCGCACCCCGTCAGATCGAGCATACGAAGATGATCCAAGGGCCTTGGGATCACTAAAGGTGGAAGCCCTTCATCCTGACTCAGGGGGGCGGCTGGGAAAGGGTTGTTTCGCGGGGTCACCTGAGGCTTGACTGGCGCCGGGAAAGCGGCATCGGTGAGCTCGACGCACTGGGACAACCTCATTTCACGCATATGCGTAGAGTAGGTCCATATGTCACGGACAGAGATGTCTGTAATGTGTTTGCAATTATTCAAGTCAATCTCCAAAAGGAGGGGGCAGGACTTGGCAAGAGCTGACACAGGACCGTCTGTGACTTGATCAACGCCACTGAGTTTGACGCGACGGAGAAGGGGACAGCTAGAAGCTAGCGCATAAACGCCAGCGTCGGTGACCTTTCTACATCCTGCGAGATTGATGCCTTGTAGGCGCCTGGCGGCTGATGCCAGGCCGATGATGATTTGATCAGAAGTTTCAACGACTCCCGATAGATCAATAGCGACCAGGTTTGGGAGGCAAGGCAGTACGCGAAGAAGGGCATCTTCGGAGATAGAGTTGCAATTCACGAGGGTCAAGCGCTCCAGGTGGTCGCACTGCGCTAAGCGGCAGAATAGGGCGTCGGTAAGGTCGGCACCGAGGAAGAGGAAGTTGAGACGGCGAATGAATCGACTGTAAGTAAAAGTCTGGTCGCCTCTACTAAGTACCCTCATCATTTTTACGAGGGTAGAAAGTCTTGTGAAGGCAGGGCGGTGCCACAGAAGCTCGACGGAGCATTCGCACCATGAGCGCGAAACTAACAGTGAATGATAGAGATCTCTGGGAGTGTGTAGGTGTTTGAGAATATGAATGAGGACCTCTGGGGGAATTTGGGCCATAGGAGAGTGTGATGAATGGATTCCTCCATCTGCGGAGTGATGTAGGCGAGAAGCCCATTGAGCGGGTGATACAACAGAGGAAACTGGACCACCAAAAAACAAAGACTTGTTTATATCGTCATCTTCATTCTCTGATAGAGAAGTAGTGGACTGTGACGGTGAATTCAAGCGGTAAAAGACCCTTGAAGTCCTAGCGGATGGCATACCTGGGCTTGTAATTGAGGAGGCAAGTCTCAGGCAGTCCGAGTCCGGTAGCCTTTGCTGACGAACTATGTGGGAAATAATTTCTAAATTTGTATTATGACTAATTTTAATACGCGTTAAGTCCTTTAAGCCCTGCCTTGTGTTGAATGCGTGCCTTGGCCTAGTCGCTCTTTCATGATACCCAACGTCAAGCTAGACAAATTTGTCTCTAATACCACTAACCTACAACGCCCAGCTCCTCCTAGGCCTGTTCCAACCAATTCTCGTTTTTTTCAAAATTGCAGGAAAATTCAATTCCCGTGATGCCCGCAATCGCCCAAAGGATACTCCACTGCCATCCCCAAACAGATCAACCAGCTCATCCTTAATATCAAACCCTGAATTTCCCCCTTCTGGTCCAGCTCATTATGCCGCTCGTCGGGCTCTCTGGCTCACTCCCACGAAAGTCCATCACCGCTCTCCTCCATCCTCGTCTCGTCAGAGATTAGAGCAGCTTCTTAGTGAGCCAGGTGCCGTCAATAATGAACAAGCTTGGAAGGATGGGATTGAGAAAGTCTGGAAGGGTCTTGTAAATGGCGGTCGTTTGAAACGCAGCCTTCCCCTAACTCTCGTAGTAAGTTCCACACCATTTCAAAATTCTCTTTTACCATCTTACTTCTACTCTCTTGCGTGTCCAAGATTAAAGTCATCCACGCTGGTTGGCTCAGAGATCCTGATACTTGGCCTTCTGGCGCAGTAGCCCCAGATTCAGATCAGGATCCTGCAGCAGACCAGCCTGGACATTCACCAGTGCCTCCAGTTACCATGAACCTTAACTCTCCCAATACTACCTCTCAGGGAGTGCCAACTGAAGTCAATGAAATAAACCCTTCTGGACTTGTAATAGCTGCAACCTAAGTGTACGAGTGTTGTATCTTGGAATGAATCGCTTCATGTATTACCCACTCTTCGATCAGAAATATGTATTAAATGCATTTTTGCTTCTTATCATCCAATGATTACAAGGACATGCGTACGACGTTTTTGAGATACATGCAAGAGAATTGCTGCCGAAAAATATACTGGCAGAGGAAGTACCGATCTATGATGCCTACACGACCTGGGATTCAAGTCCGCGAGGGTGGTGACACCTGCTGTCTAGTCAGTTACTAGTCATGAGTTGTCTATAAAATTCGCGCACGAGTATAACCCCATCTCCCCGAACGAACAACATCTCCATTTTTCTCTTGGCCACCTACAACGTCATAAATGATGACTCATTGCTCAGCGTCGGGCTTGAGACTTACTTTGACGGTTCCTTGTCCTTCCATACCTCCCTCAATGGGGTCTACGATCATGATGGTTTCTTCAACATCACTCAGAATAAGGTTCATATGACCATCGTAAGCCTGTAAACCAAAATAATTCAGTGCGTGCGAGCTAATAGAATATACCAAGTCGACGCACATGAAGTACGCCAGTCAACTCACGATCCCCCCGTAACTTCACGAATACACGTTCGCTGAGGGATAATCTGATAAGGTCGAAAGGCTCCTGGATGCCCGACGATGAAGGATCCATTGAAGTACAGGTGAGATTAGGTAAGCAGTAAGTTGTCTTTCGAACTCAGACAGCCTGCACCGAACTCCCTCTTTCGCCAGCACTACTAGCAGTGACCTAGCCATGCCGGTATATCATACCATCCTATCTCGCGCAATAACTACTAACCGCAGTGTAGAAACACTACTGTGACTACTGTGATGTTTTTCTTACTCACGACTCTGCTTCAGGTGAGTTATTTTATTGCTAATACCTAGGTTTCCGTTCTGAAGCATCACGTAGTGCGCAAAGCTCATAACAGCGGAAGAAATCACCTGGCAAATGTCCGAGACTACTATGCATGTGAGTGAGCATTACGTTCGCACACTGACAGGTTATTGAGACATGATTTCAGCGCTCGGCCATGACAAAGCACAGAGTATCATCGATCAGATCACTGCAGCGTACGAGAGCGGAGGCGGCCCTCCTCCAGGAGGGTTTGGGTTTGGCCCTCACCACCTAGGCGCACCCCCACCACTGTTTCCAGGCCCTCCCATGGGCTTCGGTGGTCCTCCCGGAGCATTTCCGCGTAAGTACCCGATCCAATGGTCGTCTTACCGTGAAACTGAATTTCTTTGCAGCTCGTCCCCCTTTTCCTCCAGGACCCTTCCCGCCCCCGGGTATGATGGTACCACCTGGTGCCATACCACCTTTCCCTCCTAGTGATGGCATGCCACCTCCCGCGGCAATGGGTCCTCCTGGCGGTTTCCCAGGCGGTAAGTCGTTCTCTTCGCGTCATCAAAAGTTAGGGATTAAGCAAACAACATAATAGGTCCTCCTCCATTCCCTCCAAATGGCCCTAACGGTGGCGGACCCGGTGCCAGCATGCCACCCTTCCCCCCACATGGTAACTTTGGGCCATCAGGCGGTAGCCCGCCCCCACCAAACCAAAATGATCCCAATATTAATGCGGGACCAGGCGGTATGCATCCTGACAGACTGAGAATGATGGCTGGCAGGTAATTGTTGTTCGTCTATTGGGTGTCAATTCTGCGGTGGGTTGTATGTTTCCTAGTATATTCCTAGAAGGTTCCCGCTACCGTTAGGGAGTGGGTCTTATAGTTTGTGATTCTCTCACCTTTGCGGTAGATTTCGAGATCCTGCAAAACCTGTGCAATTACTTGTTCTGGCTCGATCTGTTCAAACAGACAACTATGATTATTCTTGGCTGTCTTCTTCTTGTGCCCCCCTTGCGTTTGTCCCTTGTCCCGGAATTCCTACTATTGCCTACTCTCGCATCGCTGTATCACTCATGTCTGCCTTCATTGGGTTCCTTCCTGTTAGCGCATCGTTTGATTCCTCATACCCTCGTGCGTGTCTTCTGGAACCGGAGGTTCCGTCGGTCATTCGCAGCCTGGTGAATGGTTTGTCTCGCACCGTGGGTAAATTATGATGAGTCAACTTAACAGGGACTGCGAATGAGTGCACACTGCACAGGGAGCACGTCGGCCGGCTAAGGAACGAGTTCGAGCCGATATGCTCCAGCCTCATCTGTTCCAGTTATCGGATACATGTGACTGCGGACGGTAACATTACCATCATGATACATAGATTGAGCGCCGCTCATATAGTATAGACTGGGATAGACTGGGATGTATCTGGCAAGGACAAGCGTGAAAACCGAAGTTCCCGCAGCAAAAGTTGGAGGTAGCAGGCCTTGCCACGTCAGCCGGCCCTACTGCTTATTTTTTGTTCCGCCCCGGTATCGATATAAAACAGGAGTGCACGCAAACTTACACACATCAGAACGATATGGCTCAGTCTGCCAGCTCATCGATGGACGCTCCTTCAGTTGTTAGCTCTTCCAATGCGACCGAGGATGGCTTGAAAGCTAAAGTTACATCATTTTGCTGACCGTCAGACTGTCCTTAGCTTGCGTGCATTCTTCTGGCCTTCGGCCTCATTAAAATTTTCCGTTTGGGGATGAATCCCGACAGTTTTAGTCAGTCTGTCGAGAATCTAGGTTGGCATGTGCACACATCGTCGTTTTCTGAGACCCTCGCGAGGCGTGACCAACCAACTCCAACTTGAAGAGAAACAGATTTTGACTCTGTTGTGGTAACCACTTGGCTAACACCAGTTAGATGGATCTCCGAGGAAACCATCCATTGAGTCAATGTCAAGCGATAGAGAAAAAACTGTTGTTCAGCGGGTTTCGAACATGCACAGTCCAAGGGTGAATCTAGCAGCCACTTGGCTAAGACCAGTTAATATGAGCCCCTGAGGAAACCATCCATGAGTGAATGTTAAGGTGCATTCTGATAGAAAAATATCTGTCACTCAGCAGGTTTCAAACCCTGACAGTCCGAGAGAAACAGATTTTAATTCTGTTGTAGTAAGTTGGGATGAACCTCCGACGAAACCATCCATGAATGTATATCAAGGTGTGTTTCGATAGAAAAAAGCCTTGTCGTGGGCAGGTTTCGAACATGCGCAGTCCAACAGAAACAGATTTCAATTCTGTTGTGATAACCACTTCGAAGTTGAGATGAACCTCCGAAGAACTGTCCCAAGGTCACTGGCAAGAGGGAAAATCAATTATTGGCACACTTACCACTTGGCTGACTATAGCTAATACTGGTCAAGATGAACGTCTACGAGTCGAAGAATATCATGGATTGACAGTAGCCTAGGGTTAGTAGTCATTTGGCAACGCAAAATGAAATAAAAATACTAGTTTGCGTTTAATTCGACGGACACAATTGAACGCCGTAAGAATTTGCATTGCTTTCCTTTTATAGAAAAACCATCCTTGCAGTAAGACCGTCAAGTCTGCAAACTGTACATTGTGAAATCATGGCAGTCTCAGCGTCCGACATACGCAGCGCCTTATCTTTGCCAAGCTCTTCAACACTGGTTCAATCCGCCACACCAGCTCCTCGAAAATCTCAAGGGCACGTTACGAAGAAACCAGAGGGCATTTCTCGAGAGCTCTATGCACTTATTGGACCCTCCGCACCTTCACTTGTAGCTCATTTGGCTAAACCACGTCTGAAGCAGAAGCCAACTTTTGGGTCCGGTGGAAAGGTGAAGTGGTAAGTCTCCTGTTGCACTCCCGTGTGCGTGCTCATTGACATGGCGCGTGTAGGGAATGGAGACCATTTAGGAATGCTGGACGCACCGATTCGTTGCAGCTGGGACATTGGGTCAAAGCAGTTGATGATCCGGATGCAGGTGTGTACCATCGAACCAACTCTATACAAATACTGAAAATTGGACACACAGAATACCCCTTTACCAAATATAACGTGCAATCTCAATCATATGCCTACTCACAAGACGAATACACGCGTTTCCTCGAAGGCAAATTCATTTCTCGATATACCTGCACCACTTACCTTCTTTACAGATAAGGATTGGACGAAAGACGAGACTGATCATCTATTTAACGTCGTGCGAGAGTACGATACTCGGTGGTATGTGGTGCATGACCGCTATGAGCCTCCACCAGACAGCCCCACACGCTCGCTTGAAGTATAACACAATGGCCTTTTCAATTGCACGGCACTGACTTGCAGCAGGATCTCAAGGACAGATACTACAGCGTTTGCCGAAAACTCATTCGGAATAGACCTTGGACAGGCGATGAGGCGAGTAAAGCTCAGCTTCTCAATAGTTATCAGTTTGACAAAGGTCCGTGATTCCTATGATTCTGTGGTGAGGGATCTAATAGCACTTTGTCATATTTCAGACCGCGAGAGAATGCGGAAAGACTACATTGCCAGCCTCGAGGATCGTACACCTGAGGAAATCGCTGAGGAAGAAGCCCTGTTCATCGAACTGAAACGGTTGGAGCAAAACGAACGCAAGTTCAAGAAAGAGCGCGATGAACTTCTCCGCACGTTGCTTGGCATTGACTCCGGACTACCTGACATAGTTGCTGAAGAAGACGGGCTTTCTGCTCTATCTGCAGAAGGATTCAAAAAGAGGAAGAAGAATGCAAATGAAATTGAAATACCTTCCACACCATCAAACATCATTTCTCTAGGCCCTCCACCCCCCAAGAGGGCTCATTCAGCGAAGTCAGCAGCTTATGGTATGCCGAGTTTCAATACAAAATACCGAGCGCGAAGTTCATTTCCCTGCTTTAGATGCGCAACATTGCATTCTCAGGGTTGAGCCTCCCGCGTCATCAACAACGAAAATCACTCATACGCCTGTGCACCTTCGCTCATTCAAGCTTCCCGCACCGAAGGCAGCGCTATTACCCAAGGTCACCCAGGCTCTTACTGAGCTGGGCATCAACCATACACGCTTGGTCATGCCTACCCGTGAAAACTGTGCACGACTAGAGTCGCTGATCGAAGCGACCACTGCCTTGATTGACACGAAGAAGGTCGTAGATCGTGTAGAACAAGATATTCGAGTGTTGAGAGTAAGACTCGGGAGGGCAAGTGAAGGCGCAGAGGAAGATGGCAAGGAAGGAACACCAATGGAAGTTGACGGAGGCGTGGGTGCGGGAGTAGATGTTGATGCTGATGCCGACGCCGATGCCGAGGGTGAGGTCGATGGTAGAGCACAAAGTATACTGAGCACACGAAGCGGCCGAGGGCGCAAGCAGGTTCGTTGATCTTCTCAAATATTGTTGACGTCTATCTAAATCTCAGGTTCAGTCCCGTCGATCAATGTCCGTGTCATCCATTGGCACTTCAGCATCCGCGCGAGTTGGTAAGAGACAAAAGCGTGGCTGACAATGTGCATGTTATGTCGATACATGATAAAAACCAATTCGTGTTTGCTTGTAGAGGCTATACAAGAATAAATTTGATATAAATCCTGAATCTCATTCAATAGATCGAGCACCATCAGAAGCACCATATTTTTACGTCTCTGTGAACCGCAACACGAAATTGACGATGATAGCAACTGTGGGGAAACCTGGTCAATCAAAACTCGTGGAATTAAAACTAGACTGACTGAGGAGTGCGGAGCATAGAATGGTCTGGTTTCAAATCGTTTAGCTAGACGATACGAACATTTGCCAGGAACTTACGGGTCCAAGTCGGTCGTCGTAAGGTCCGCGCCCTCCCCTGCGGATAGAAGCAGCCCTCCAATGATATATATACAACGCATATATCATGACAGCCATGGCTTCAACCAGTCAATGAAAGTCATGCAGCCGAAATGTTTGATACGATGTGTGCTTACCAACGACAGAGAACATTGCTGCACTAATCCTCCCAACCTGTGCAGGAAAACCGTTAAAACGAACCCTATAACCGGAAGCAGCTAGCTAACGCACCTTGTCACCGAAGTTCAGCAGCCCAACCGCAAGGCCACCGAGGACAACTGTGAAGTGGAGCCATGATAAGAAGGTACGCTCGTTGGCGAACGAGACCTTGGGCTCTACGCGCACCGGGAGTGCGATGCGCTTTGAAGCTGTGCGCTGAAGCAAAGGCTGGGTCGACATCAAGCTGATTGAGTGGTTGGGGTGAGTCGATGGATCAAAACAAAATCCTGCCCTTTAGGTCCTTAGTAAGTTAGTAAGGGGATACAAAACTTTGTTACCATAATGGGAAATGTAATTTCATTGTATCGGAACTTCAGTGAAAGCTCTCGATGAAGTAGTACATATACTGCTGAGCGCTCGCAGTATCATTCATGCTTTTTCTGCCGGAATCCCATGGACGTTTTCCGGTAGGGGCGACTACCTTCAAGCTTCCTGTATCCACGAAAGTGCTGGGCACTGCGAATATACACAGGCATGGTTACAGTGACGGTGGACCTTCAGTGATACCTGCTTTACAACTCGATGAAGTCGTATTCACTGCCTATTATCCTGCGGACGTAAAGGGTAGCAATATTAAGAAAGGCCTGGACTGGCTTCTCCGGTCAGTATCGGAATTACGCTGCCAGCATGTTAAGCTCACGGTTCTAGTCCGCTGCAAACATCTCTACATGGGTATGCTCATTATTCAGGCAGGTATTGTGGCTTGTCTTGTATATGGGTATGTGATTGAGCACTTTTACCAGGGATTTCCACTTGGCTCTTATGGCCTATTGTATATCTCTACGGTCGCCTATTGAAAGTGCGAAATTTAGCCACGGAGCTGAATACCATGGCTAACCCAGGCCATGCTGTTAGATCCCAGTTTATCCAAATGCACCTCTTTTGAGGCAACGCCCCACTGCGTCTCCAGAGCGTACTCAGGCTAGATCTGAAACTCGTCCTTCAAGTTGGCCTCTGGTAATATTCTCACACGGTCTGGGCGGTGGCCGGACAGCTTATAGGTATTTACCTATCTTCTGCAGCACGAAACAATATAATTACTTTATTGCAGTCAAGTGTGCACTCGTCTTGCATCCTCGGGACGAGTGGTTCTAGCCATCCAGCATCGTGATGGCTCGGGTCACGCATTTATTTCATTGACTACCGGACCCAGACTCTACGTCAGAGAGAAGGACTTGATGTATGCATTTTCATTTTTCGTTAAGTTAGAACTGAATCTCCCCCAAGTTGGACTTCAGATGATGAAAAAACGATGATTAATTTTCGACAGCAACAGCTGGCTTTTAGACGACATGAGATATACCTTGCATTCCGTAGCTTTAAGCAATTAATTCAAGATGGATACCAAGGCTCAAGCCATGGCTTACAGTCCATAGACAAGAAATCCATCGACTGGTCTTCATGGTCAAGCGACGTCGATACCAAGGCTGTCGAATGCGACAAAGACGTCCTCCTTGCTGGACATTCCTTTGGTGGTGCTACTGTTGCAAGTAAACCATATTTACGAAATGTACAGCGACTTATACCAGCTATGCAGTTCACAATCCTTTCTACGGATCCTCCTGCCGACGTCTCCGCACCCATTCCTGTCCATAAAGCCTTGATTTTGGATCCTTGGCTAGAACCGATCCCTTCCCCTGGCCCATCCCCACCTCCTCATGGATCAGGCGATACTTTGCCTCAGTTGCTTGTCATAAACTCTGAGAAATTCAGCCTGTGGAAGGATCATTTCGCACGACTGATCGGCGTGGTGCAAGCCTGGGAGCCCGAGAAACGGAGAGTACTGACCATCTGTGAGTTTATTCGCATTCGACATACACCAACCATGCAGGAGTTTATCTGACTTGCGCTTGCCGTAGTGCGCTCACAGCACGAATCATTCTCGGATTTCCCTCTCCTTCCGCTTGTTTCTCGGAGAGCTGCACGCATAGTAATGGACAGAATTATGGAATTATCAGAGGCATTTATAGATGGTAGCGTAGACACGTTTGTGGACGAAACTGCGACTAGGAAGATGGAAATCCGTATAGTCGGGAAAAAGCCAGACGGTTCACCACAACGACAGCTTGTGGGCGAGGTCGGGGAGCTCATAGCCCACTGAATCAGATGCTTTACTAGCGTCCATAGATAATCAATTTGGCTATATCAGTTTACGAAAAGTTTGAGTCACTGATTGTACCTGTTAAACCTGACTCGGATCTGTAATGTAACGTCCGATACACCTTTTTCTAATTCAAAACATATACATTCGCCCACAACCTCTAGTAAAGCCTCTAATACTATACCGACTGCACCTGCACATCTGTCCTGCGATCGCAGTTACATACAGTGGTAGGATTTGTGGCGAACCTCATTTAGTCTAAGGACCATCATCTACTAATGGCTCCTCCCAAGACCGATCCTGCGGCATCAGACACTTCCATCCCCCTCTTTAAGTCTATAGGTCTCTCTCAGGCCAAGGCGGCAGAAGCGGCAAAGAATGCCAAAAGCGCCAATGTCCTTCGCAATCTGATCGTTTCATACGATCTTGCCGAAGCTCACCTTGACGACAAGCAGGCCACGGTCGTCACCGCACTTGCTGGTCAGCTAGCCAAGACGGAATCTGTAGAGCCCAGCGAACAAGCTTTCGCCGTCAAGGCAATCTTGCAGGGAAAGCTCAAATCCGTTGATCAGGTTAATGGTGAGTTCTGTTATACAACGTTTACGTTTACCAGTGACCGATTTACTATGTGCAGCTGCTGTCAGGTACCTCGAGATATCTAAAGCGCCCATTAACGAGCTTGAATTCGATACGGAGTGTGGTGTCGGTGAGATACGGTCATTATGATGTGCGATTGCGGTGCCAATCAAATGTTACAGGCTTCAGCATCACTTCCGAAGAGCTCTATGATGCAGTCACGAGTTACATCCGCGAGAATTCCGTCACTGGTTGGTCCAACCTTGGTTCCGTCATTAGTGGAGTCAAGGCCAGCCCAGCTCTTCGATGGGCGAACCCTTTGGAAGTTAAGAACGTCGTCGAGAAGGCGTTTACTGAAACCTTTGGTGCGAAAGAGGCTGCGAAGCCAAAAGCTAAGGTATACTACATCCCTTGCAGTCCCCGTTTACTGCTTCTGATGTCAGGGTGCAGGACCCTAAGAAAGAGAAGGCTCCACAGCCAACGGCAACTGCATCAGAGGCTGATGCTAGCTCTAGTTCATCCAATAGAAAACCCGTATTTGAAGAGGGATTCTTGGGCGCTTTGCACAAGCCAGGAGAGAACCCTCAGACCAGACCCGAACTTCGCGAGCAGCACCTGCGCGCGACTGATGGTCAAGTCTGGACACGTTTCCCACCGGAACCAAACGGCTATCTGCACATTGGTCATTCCAAGGCCATCTTCGTGAACTTCGGTTATGCTGCGCATCATGGGGGGAAGTGTTATTTACGCTTCGACGATACTAACCCGGAGAAAGAAGAGGCCAGATATTTTGAGAGCATTATCGAGGTTGTCCGATGGCTGGGCTTCGAACCCTGGAAGATAACCTATTCCAGCGACTACTTTGATCAGCTATACGATCTTGCTATCGAGCTCATAAAGCGCGATAAAGCTTATGTCTGCCATTGTACTCGTGAGTATATCGTTTCTCCGCTCGGGGCGACTATCCGTTGAATGTGAACTGCTTTAAAGAGGAGCAAATCAAAGCTGACAGGGGCGAAAAGATATCAGCTCCTAAAGCCTGCGTGCATAGATCACGGCCGATTCAAGAATCGCTGGATGAGTTCAAAAAGATGACTGATGGTTATTATCGACCCAAGGAGGCCAATCTCCGGATGAAGATGGATCTGACAGATGGCAACCCTCAGATGTGGGATCTCACGGCGTATCGTGTTTTAGATGCAACCCACCATCGTACCCTGGATAAATGGAAGATATACCCCACCTACGATTATACACACTGCCTCGTGGATAGCATCGAGAACATCTCGTGAGTACCGTGGCGCCCTTTTCTCGTTTGCTATTGTTTGACTTATGAATCTCCAGCCATTCCCTCTGCACCACAGAATTCATTGCTTCACGCCAGTCATATGAATGGCTTTGTGACGCCCTGGACGTGTATAAAGCGAGGCAATCAGAATTTGGTCGTCTTAATCTTCAAGGGACGATCAACTCAAAAAGAAAGATTCTCCAGCTGGTAGATGAAGGCTACGTTAGCGGATGGGACGATCCTCGTCTCTACACCCTTATTGCCCTCAGAAGGCGAGGCGTACCTCCGGGCGCGATTTTGTCATTTGTCAGCACGTTGGGTGTCTCAACGGCTGCCTCAAACATCCAAATTGCCCGCTTTGAACAAACTGTGAGGCAATACCTGGAAGGCAGTGCACCACGTCTCTTCATGGTCATGCGCCCTCTCAAAGTCATAATCGAGAACGTTCCCGACGACTACCTCGTAATTGTGGACAAACCATTCCATCCCAAGAATCCCCAACTCGGATCTTCACAGATCCCATTCACCCGCACGATTTACATCGACGCAGATGACTTTAGGCTGGAAGACTCAAAAGATTACTTCCGCCTTGCTCCTGGAAAGAGTGTTGGTCTATTCCAAGCACCTTACCCAATTACATGTACATCGTGCAAGACTGATTCAGTTACTGGTGAGGTGACGGAGGTGTTCTGTCGTCTTGAAGATTCTGGCACTCCTCCGAAACCCAAGGCATATATCCAGTGGGTCGCAGAACATGCATCTTCTGGAAGCCCTGTTCGCGTCGACGAGACAAGGATATTTCACCCTCTATTCAAGAGCGATAACCCACTGGCGGCTGTCCCCGACTTCAAGGCTGATATCAACTCTAACAGCATGGAAGTCATCAAAGGCGCCATGGTGGAAATCAGCTTCTGGCCGCTTGCAAAGCGATCTATCGCCGATGCCCTCGAGGAGGCTCGGGCAAGATCGGCAAAATCCAAAGCAATCCCAGGTGCGGGCTCCCACGGCGCAGACACTCCAGAAATCACGCCAGAGCAGCTTGTCGGAAAGGAGTGTGTACGATTCCAAGGTCTGCGTGTCGCGTACCTTGCAGTAGATTCAGACTCTCGCTTGGGTGCTCTGGAGGAACCCTCAGATGTTACTCCTGGAATCAGGCAAGGCGATTATTTGGTACTCAACCGCATTGCAAGTTTGAAAGAAGATGTTGGAAAGGGGATGTGAACAGGCATATATGACTGGTTTACGATACGACAGGGCCAAACATCATTAGAGCTACGTAGTAGTCGGATTTCAGCATGTGCAACCAATATTCAGATCGTAGATCTCGCTGCACGCACTCAATACAATGTTACATTAAATATACAGAATTATTCCAGTTTGGGGAACAGTACATCATGTTGCTACCAAGGCATGGAGATTATAGATCTCTTTGCGTACGATATAGTAGATGTCGGAAACGGTACCTTCCAACTCCACTCTTCCTCGGCCTGTCTTGCGTACGGCAACTGTGTCTTGTATAGAACTAGAGGATTGATCCCGCCTTGCCCCAGCGCCGCAAATTAGTACACCCTCACCAACCAATTCGGCCTGAACACCGACTGAAGCCAGTCGGCTTTTAAGTGCAGTCAACTTGAGCTCCCCTATCATCGTTGACCGCGGTAAAATCTGAATGGGCCGGGAGCCTAGTATTCGTGGGGTATGTAGTATGTTTGCATTCGGCGTTGGTATCGCTGGCCCCGAGGGTTCCAAAATGGGTATAGTGGAACTGAAGTGGCTCGCAACGCGTCCGGTCACATAGCCCACTTCGTTGTCTTCGAACTACCAGACGTTCATTCACATGGACTCGAAGTTTGAGGAATAAACTTACCCTTGACATTTTGATAGTGCTCAATAGCTCATCACTCAAGGATATTGAGAAACTGTTCGTGTGTTGTCCTATCTGCACCGTTTCACCGACAGAAGGAGCGTATATCTTTCGTCATGGACCGAATGTTTGCACAACTGTCAATGAGAGCATCGGCAGCAGCAGCCTGGGCATGGACGATGATCTACTCCGAGTACCATTAACATATAAAATGTCGGATCGATGTAATTACTGACCATCTTTCTGGGGTTCACTTGGGGTACAATCATCTTCACCGCGCGACCATCGTTAAGACCTTCCATATCAACAAAAAGAAGTCGACAAGCAAGCTGTATCTCAACCTCTGAAGTAACGAACTTTGAAGGAGGTTCACGAGGGGCCTTGCATTAGGCTTGTCAGTTAAATGATCATTCATTCCACCTAACAACTTTACCTCAGTTTCGCCTTCAGCCTGATTTCGTCTTGCCTCCCTAGTTGCTTCATCGTCTGCTTCATTTTCCAATACTTTACCTTTCCTGAGCCACATGCCAACATCAATAGTTTCGCCATATTCATCCACCCTCCGTTTCTTTTCAACGTAGGGAAACATACGGAAACGGTGGGTCTGGCCACCAGCGCTCTTGAAGAATGATGTTGCTTTGGAGACGTTCCCCTTGAGGTAAATGTCGAAGGAGAGCAGCTGTTTCGTTAATCCCTCATCAATGTCAAGCCCCCAGTCAGCATCGTCCTCATTTTTAGTGATTTTCCGTTTTCGCGGTGAACCATTTGCAGGATCGGAGATTTCATCGGTATCCATCTGGCTTTCGTCAAGTGCACGTTCGACTTCGTCTTCTTCATCCGAGTCTGAGTCTGAATCTTCGTCGCTCTCGTCTTCGTCCGCTTCTAATATGCGTTGATTACGAGCCATAGATGCTTGATGAGCAGCTTCCCTATCCTTTGCCGCCTTCTCCTTTGCAAGGAAGGCTTCCAGCTCTGCACCTTGAAGGGGAACCTTGGAGTTTATCTAGACGTAGATATATAAGTAACGCGCCATGTAGGTACAAACCGTGCAAGTCACCTTCAGAGTCATGGCTCCATCCATCATGACGTTGCTACCAATTCTACCTTTGTCCCACTTATCATCACCTCTCTGGGAGTTATTCCATTTATCAAAAAGGATACGTCCCAGTGTGCCCTCTTCGCCGCGACCAGTCAGGAGAACCACATTGTCCGGGACCGCGGCGAAGTCAGAGAATAGTAGTCGTGAAGGCCCGTGTGAAAGCGAGGCAGGGACAGCAAGGATTAGCTTCGGCTCCTTGGACGAGTATGTTTGCAGAAGGGATTGCGGACTAGGAAAGAACTCCAGAAACCTGTACAGCGTGATTTTAACTCATCACCTTCTACTTTCAAGCTTCACTTACTTGAAGCGCAATGCAAATGCTCCCAGCGCCTCGTCGTCTGCATCGTCATCGCCACGTCTCCTCCTAGTACCTCCCGTTCTTCCGCTTCCATCAACACCGACGTCTTCTTTGCTCACTGTCCCACCAAGCCACTCCATCATACTCCGGACGAAGGTAAGCATCTCGCGCCCGTTACGCGACAATAGACAGATGGGGAAGCGGAAATCAGCGTATTTCCAATGCTGATCAAGTAACACCAGGAGCTCCAGAAGACGAGTACTCGAATCACAAGGAAGCAAAAGAGAGGAACGGGACGACAGCGTCGCACTTATGGCATCTGTCCATCAATGACATCAGCACGAACTTATTCGAGCGGGATGAACTTTCGGACCTATCAAAGCAGCGTCGCGGTCCTTTCTTCGACTCGTGACGACGTTTACGCGGTCGGCATCTGTGATGAAGAGATCTGGTCGGGCAAGTGGTTCGAAGACACCACCTGCTGCAGGACGGTAGAGGACAGTGCCATCTATGTGTCGCTCGCGCATGTGATTCAAGTTCACAGCATAGACGATCGTTCCGGCGGAAGGCGATCTTATTTTCCATATGGTTCCGCCTAATGTGTGCCCCGCTGCAAATGGTGTAATGGTCAGACCTTGACACTTTCCTGAAAGTCGGAAATATCAATGTTCCGCCCACGATTGTTTCACGGTTAAACGTTACCTTGTAGATGGGTAGGCTGGGAATATCTTAGGGTGTTTACCGCGTCAAATGCTTCGTGTACCTCTTGAATGGTAGCGACAAACTTCTTGGGTTCATTCTTCAGCTTTGGCGAACGTGGCTCAGAGCCCTCCGCCCCCTCAGCAACCGCAGGTTCGTTATTCTCCTCCTCCTCAACGTCGACTTCCTGTTCGTCTCGAATTCCTTCCACATCTTCCATTGTTGCAATACGAGCCATTGCCTGGACCGGAAGTGTAGTATAGCATGGGGCTCTGAGATCCCAGTGACAGTATGCATAGGCGTACAAGCCAGAATGTGCAAGGTCACCATGAGACAGCAGAACCAAGTCAATCTCTGGAGCATACCTAGCTAATGTTAGATCATGCAGCTTGTAGTTTAGTTGTCACTCACTTTCTTACTATGTCACAGTACTCTTGCCAAGGATAAGTCACCCCATTCCCGGACTCAGTTTCAATATTCTCGGGGTTCCAGTCAGGTGATCCACAATCGAGGAGAATACGAATATCGTCAACCTGTAGCAAGTACGCAAGTGGAACAGTTTGAGATGACCGGGCGGCACCAGAAAAAGGTGTGAATGTAATCATTTGGTTTCCAGTTCAACGATAGACTTGTAGACTGTCGAACTCTTGCAAAAAGAATGACTGCAATAGCGGTCGACCAAAAAGGAAGTTCTATGAGCGTTTGTTTGTTTCTAAAGGCTTTACTTAGTGCCACAGTCTAACGTGATTTATTCAGGAGGTCGTAAGGTCACCTGTATCTTGTATATCATGTTTTGCAGCCAGCTCCGAATTTCTACGCCTCTCTGTCCTCTTGGCTATGTAGTAATCTCACATATCTTATCCGGCAGCAGTGATGATTCTGGACCACATGGCCGCTGTCGAGACTACCGTGACTCCGTTGACCTCCACGTTTCACCTAGCAATGGAAAGTTGCCGCCAAAGCTCATTTCCGTCCTTTTAGCTCATGCTTGGTTGGCATCCCTGATGTCACTGGGAATTTTCAGACTGGCTGTGCGGTACGGCTACTGACACTTCCTCTCACGTCTGCCACGTACACTCTGGTTTGTCCCTTGAACAGAAATGACACTCTCTACATTCTCAGTAGCAATGCATATTACTCCAAGTAAGGTGGTCCGTTTCATCTGTGCGTGCAGTCATTTATGTATCTTAGCCGTCATCAAGGCCCTCTATACTCATGGAAAACGGAAAACAAAAAAGCTGAAGGATAGTGATGAGCAACAAGAGGCCACCGATGACATTTTCTTTGACGAGTGCGTTTCATTGCAGTCAACATTCTTACTCATTGATGTTTTCCAGAGCATTTCACATCGTTAAATCATTCATTCTTCTTGGCACAAAGAATACTGTGGAATCTCTCCAAGCATTGTGAGGTGCAATTTATATTCACATGGTCCTCCATTAACTATGGTCCTCCGTGATCAGCACGAATACTCATGTACCTGCCCCGCCTTGGACTGCTGTTGCCCCTGTGCGCGTCCCACTGCAATCATGCAACCAGGCGGCAGACCTCCTGACAGAATGGTTTGGGCCCGAAGACCTTAAACGTGTCGTTGGAGGTGAAAAGTGGTGGCAAGTTCGTGGTTTAGACGGTATTGATGCTGAGTGGATTGCCGAGAAGTCACACTTGCCTGAAAGCGTTCACATAGATGCTGGGAGGAAGTACAGTGAAGAGGAAAAGCTTGTAATGTCGATGGAGCAATTAGAGACCACGATGGTGAGTTTACTGGTTCTGCTTGACATATTCTCTAACTGCTGTAACTAAAGCTTTACATTCATGGAGGCGGATACTATTGGGGGTCTATCAGTGAATATCAATCCACCTTGTACATACCTTCAGACTTAACTTGGCCTCTAGATACCCATCGTTATCAAGTCATCAAATATGGTATGTTCATGTAAGTTCCTGGCATCTTTACTTATTCTATCCAAGCACATAAAATTCGGGGGCGTGCGTTTGCTGTCAACTATCGGTAGGCGTCAATATTTTTATCGTGTTCATGTTATACATAGTCTTTCTCTCTAGGAAGGCACCACAATACCCATGGCCATGCCCCCTACATGATGTCCTCGCTGCTTGTGAGTTCATCGCTATTTAGTTCTGAAATTGAAATCGTGAAGACCGAATTTTCCCCATATGAAGATCTTTACCTGATTCAGCCACCTCCCGACGCTACCCATAAACCCATTCCTCCTTCAAAAATCGTCTTCGCTGGCGATTCGGCAGGTGGCGCACTATGTCTCACAATGCTCACTGTACTGCGGGATTTGGGTCGACCGTTACCAGCGGGAGCAGTGCTCATCAGCCCGTGGGTAGATTTGACACACAGTTTTCCTAGTATCCATACGAATACGGCCACGGTGAGTTTTGAGCATTGCGCATGATATTCCTTTCTGATTTGGCTATTAGGATATCATACCTCCTCATGGATTCATGAACAAACCCTCTGTGTTGTGGCCGGTGGATCCAATCAAAGAAGGCGGTCGCGTCGCCCGTGCACACTCCGATCCACTGCTGAAGCCATGTCATGCAGACACTCCTGGTGCCAATAAAAATGTTACAAGAGACAGTGCCCAGGTCCCGCCCACTGACGCTGAAAAGCATGGTGATTCTACGCCTGTTGATTCCAAGCAAGAAACATCAAGCAGTTCTGCATCAAGCGTTGCCCTGAAATCTCAGGTGAAAGCATCATTGTTTGATGAAGGGAAGTGTGATTCCTCTGGAGGGCACGGGCGAGGCCAGGAGCAGAACAGAAACCCAAGTCATGCGATGCCTATTGATGACCTTGCTGTGAACAATAAGCACGGACCTAGTTCGGATTCAATCCCCGATCTAGATGACATTGATTTTTGGCAGCCCAACCCTCCGAAGGTGCTCATGAAAAATCCTCGAGATGTTCCGCTGGAACTACGATCGCAGATCCAGCATTATGCTACTACAGAGTGAGATACCTCTCCATTCCATTCTTCCATTCATTGACGGTTATTGTCTGCGAAGGCAATTGTCGCATCCTTTAGTCTCACCTATCCTTCAAGCTTCCTTAGGCAATCTCTGCCCGTTGTATATTTTGGCAGGCGATGGAGAAGTGCTTCGCGACGAAATAATATATCTGGCGCATAAGGCAGCCAATCCAGCCGAGTACCCTGTACGAGAGGGTGTAATTAGAGATGGATCGAGGCAGAAAGAGAATGCGCATAAATTTTCTACGCCCACCAAAGTCCATCTCCAAGTGTATGATGGTACATTATTCTTTTTCATTCAAGACTGTCTGTTAAAACAAAGGCTCCAGGAATGTGTCACGTTTTGACGGTCTTCTCCTTCACGAGTAGTGTGAGATAACTATGATCTTATGTCTCATTTGCTGACGGGTCGAATAGGCGGACTATGCGTACCATTCTATTGCGGAATTTGCGAAACATGTTACCCAACATTCGGCGGTAGAGCACCTTGACCGAAATCCGTTCCCCATTCTGCAGCAAACGTTCGGGCCTGACATTCCATCTTGCCTCATGAATGACCGATCGGTGAGAATTCGCTTGGCGGCTGTTCTGTCACTGAATGCTCACTTTTGACAGAGAGACGTGCTGATGGTTCGTGAGCGCGTAGATATCCATGGTCGAGTTCGCTCCATGGAACCAAAAGAGAATATTACAGCTCTACAGCTGAGGCCATCAGAGATTGGCATTATCAAGGAAGAGACTCTTGTCAAGTGGCTGGAAGGCCAAGAGGAGTGGGACAGGCGTTTCGAGTACCGCGCAACCAAGGTAATGAAGAACAGGAAAAAATTCGAAGCGAAGGCCGACTCGATGATTAAGAATGCGAGGCTACGGGGCCTCTTACTGGCGGGAGAGAAGGATGATCTTGTTGAGAGGTCAATAGTTAGGAGATCGAGTGCCGCGCATAGGGCTATTCAAGAAAATAGAAGATGGGGGCCGTTAGACCTGGTGGACGAACAGCCACCACCCACAGCGATTGCTGCGAGACGAGACACAGTGAGTAAGCTTTGTTGTCAACATTTTTGGTGTTTACTGAGCAACTATAGCGAGAAGCGCTTGCTCTGCTTAAGAAGAGCATTTATCACACGGCGCCAGCCACCCACAAGACCATTCCGAGAATGAAAACAGTGGATGTTGTCCTCGCTGCTTTTGATCCCAATGATGCCCCATTCCGACCTCCTAGACAGTCAGTTTCAGAGCAGCAGGTGCGCACTAGTATGCGATACATTCACGGAATGCGAATATGGCATTCCATCGTGACGCAAGTTGACATTCGGATTCGCGCATGTCAGTATACTAATCCAGCTACAGTTACTTTGGACGTAAGGTTGCTGTGAAAGCTGCGGAGGACACGCGACGCGTAGGAGATGCACTTATGGAGACTGGAGATAAGGCTGCTAGCACTGTGAAGCCGGCCGCAGTAAGTACTAAGTAGTGGAGAGGAGTGCAGGATTTGATGATCGCGTTGAGTAATTATTAAAAACAGACGTTTGTGAAGACTTTCGGAACTACATAAAAGACAACACATGTTCGCCAAACTCGCACAGAGAAACGTACTGATGGGGAGGCGTGAGAACGGTTAGCTTAAGTAATCGCCACGTGTTTGCCGCACTTTTAACCCTGCGCCCTTTGATCTGGACCATCACCCCATCCTCGCCTCACGTCCAAACCAGTAAGCTTTTTAGACGCGTCTTTCCGTGTCGTATGATTGCTGATATACAATCATCTTACTTTGTAGCCCAAATTTTCCAGAAATAATGCGTGAAGTCATCTCTGTCCACGTCGGTCAAGCCGGTGTTCAAATCGGAAATGCCTGTTGTAAGTGTCCCACTACTTTTGATATGTGCAATCGCCTTTGTTGTTTTCATTTCAATATTCGGCGCGTGCCAGACACATGCAATTCGACTCTACTAAGTTCTGATTGTTGATTATGTATCTTTACAGGGGAATTGTACACCGTTGAACACGGTCTCAGCGTGATTATCTTTCCTGGGGATTTCCCGCGCTTTCACTTAAATTCTTATTGTAGCCTGACGGCCGTCTGGTCGAAGGATCTCCTTCTGCTAACGATGATGGCTTCAGCACTTTCTTCTCGGAGACGTCCTCGGGCAAGCACGTCCCGCGGTCGCTCTACATCGACCTGGAGCCGAATGTGATCGATGAGGTCAGAACGGGCACTTACAGGAGTCTTTTCCACCCAGAGACCCTCGTCACAGGCAAGGAAGATGCCGCCAGCAACTGTGAGTCCATCAGCATCACTTGGAAATGTAGCTATATTTAGCGTGCCCTAGACGCCCGTGGTCATTACACTATCGGCAAGGAACAGATTGACGTGGTTATGGACAAGGTTCGCCGTCTTGCAGACAACTGCAATGGTCTGCAAGGCTTCTTCGTTTTCCACTCCTTCGGTGGTGGAACGGGATCTGGTTTTGGTGCTCTTATCTTGGAGCGCCTGTCAACTGATTACGGTAAAAAGTCAAAGCTTGAGTTCAGCGTGTACCCCGCTCCAACAATGGCCAACTCTGTGGTTGAACCTTACAACTCGGTGTTGACGACGCACACCACCCTTGAGCACTCCGATTGCTCATTCATGGTGCGTTCATGTGGTTTTTGTATTACATTCTCTTACCCTGGGTTTAGGTGGACAACGAGGCAATTTACGACATCTGCAAAAAGAACCTTAACATTTCGTCTCCTGGCTTCACGAACCTGAACCGATTGATCGCACAAGTTGTTTCGTCCATAACAGCATCTTTGCGCTTTGATGGCTCGTTGAACGTTGATTTGAACGAGTTCCAGACCAACCTCGTGCCGTGAGTTCAATTACTACTAATATCATGAGTTTACACTCAATCCCCCTGCTAGTTTCCCGCGTATTCACTTCCCTCTTGCCACCTTTGCACCCATCATTTCAGCAGAGAAGGCACACCATGAGCAGAACTCTGTTGCTGATATGACTTTCTCGTGCTTTGAAACAGGTAGTCAAATGGTGAAGTGTGATCCCAGGGAAGGCAAATACAGTAAGAGTCACTCCTAATTGCAGTTCCTATTTGCTTATGCGGCTATAGTGGCCTGTGCTCTCCTCTACCGTGGTGATGTCGTGCCTAAGGATGTCAACGCAGCTGTCAGTGTCATCAAGACGAGACGCACGATTCAGTTTGTTGACTGGTGTCCCACCGGTTTCAAACTTGGTATCTGTAATGAGCCACCTGCTCACATTCCTGGTGGCGACCTTGCCAAGGTGTCTCGTAGCATGTGCATGTTGTCAAACACCACTGCCATCTCAACCGCATGGAGTCGTCTCGACCACAAGTTCGACCTTCTGTACTCGAAACGCGCCTTTGTTCACTGGTATGTTGGTGAAGGTATGGAGGAGGGTGAGTTCTCGGAAGCTCGCGAGGACCTGGCTGCTCTCGAAAAAGACTATGAGGAAGTTGGCATCGACTCGGCTGATGTTGAAGAAGCTGGCGAGTATTAGACGCATGTAATCCTCCTTTGGTCCTCGTTCTCGGAAGTTTGTTCCCGCATAATTTCTTTACTATTGCCATTGCCATTGTCATCACGATTTACGTATACCGTCCATTATATCCCGCTTGTCCTCGAGGTTTTTTACGCACTTTACCTGGAACATGAATTACGAATCTCTTTTATCGGTCTCTTTGGATGCAATGCTGGAAGCCTATCAAGCTGCACCGGATCCGGGTCCGTGGGCGTCGTCTCCAAGATTATTTCCAAATTGAGAAATACTTTCTAAGAAATTTTGAACACTTGAAGTAGAAACATTTGGCTCAGTAACTTCTGTTCCCTCCCGTCACGACAAACCGGTATACCAGTCGTCAGCTCTTCTTAACGATTCATCATGCGCGAAGTCATTTCTCTCCATGTTGGTCAGGCTGGTGTTCAGATTGGCAATGCCTGCTGTGAGTGCCCTTTGCGCGTCATAAGGGTCGTCTTAACTTTCGGCCAGGGGAGCTGTACACCCTAGAACACGGCTTGAGCGTAAGTTCGTATCACATTTCAAGTATACCGTTGTCTAATATTTTACGTAGCCTGACGGTCGCGTCCTCGATGAAGCTCACAAGACTGACGCAGGGTTCTCCACGTTCTTCTCCGAGACTGGTTCAGGGAAACACGTTCCTCGCTCTCTTTACATTGATTTGGAACCCGGAGCCGTGGATGAGGTCAAAACCGGTCCTTACAGGTCTCTGTTCCACCCTGAGACCATGATCACGGGCAAGGAGGATGCAGCAAATAATTGTAGGTCACAGATCAAGTTGCATATCCATTATGGGCAGCTCATGGCTTTACGCATTCAGATGCTCGTGGTCATTACACAGTCGGAAAAGAATTGATCGATCCAGTCATGGATAAGATTCGTCGCTTGGCTGACAACTGTTCAGGATTGCAAGGATTCTTTGTGTTCCACTCGTTTGGCGGAGGCACTGGATCTGGTTTCGGTGCCCTCCTCTTGGAACGACTTTCTACGGACTATGGCAAAAAGTCTAAGCTTGAGTTCTGCGTTTACCCTGCACCTCAATTGTCGAGTTCAATAGTTGAGCCCTACAACTCAATTCTGACCACCCATACGACTCTTGAACATTCTGATTGTTCGTTCATGGTCGGTCTTCTCATCCATCTTTTGCGCTGCTGTGTTCATTGAGTTGTGCAGGTTGACAACGAGGCTATCTATGATATCTGCAAGAAAAATCTTGGTGTCTCTCAACCAGGCTTCACCAATCTCAATCGCTTGATTGCTCAAGTTGTCTCCTCGATCACTGCTTCGCTCCGTTTCGATGGTTCGTTGAACGTTGACCTTAACGAGTTCCAAACCAATCTTGTTCCGTGAGCACCATCGCGCTCTCCATGGCATAAACAAGTTGTTAAACAGTTACAGCTTCCCTCGTATTCATTTCCCATTAGCAACATATGCCCCACTTCTATCCGCTGAGAAGGCGACTCACGAACAAAATTCTGTCAGCGAAATGACCTTCTCTTGCTTTGAGACTGGACACCAGATGGTACGATGACACCATACATCGAGTCATAATTTGCTCACGTGATTTCAGGTGAAATGCGACCCCAAAGACGGCAAATACAGTATGTGTGTCATGGCCCTTTCACGCGCCTCTCTAATCCTCGAACAGTGGCTTGCGCTCTACTTTATCGTGGTGATGTCGTGCCGAAGGATGTTCAGACTGCTGTCGCCAGCATCAAGACCAAGCGAACCATCCAGTTCGTCGATTGGTGCCCGACTGGTTTCAAGGTGTGTACCTAGCCTGGGTTTGACAAGTTCGATTGATGAGTCCTCTTAGCTGGGCATTTGCAACGAACCTGCCGCTGCAGTCCCAGGCGGTGACCTTGCCAAGAATACCCGCAGTCTCTGCATGCTTTCAAAGTAGGACTATGCGCTATATGGTGTAGACTGCTGCTAATTTCTTTTCGTATAGCACGACGGCTATCTCTGTCGCTTGGAGTCGGCTAGGTAATCCCTTCTAACACTCTTTGTTCGAGTGGAACACTAACAAAGGTTTCCAGATTACAAATTTGACCTGATGTACTCCAAGCGCGCATTCGTTCACTGGTATGTTGGTGAGGGTATGGAGGAGGTATGTATATCGTTCAATGTGTCCCCGGCTTGTTCATACTTCGTTGCAGGGTGAGTTCTCGGAGGCACGTGAGGATTTGGCAGCGCTGGAGAAGGACTACGAGGAAGTTGGTACCGACTCTGCAGATGTTGAAGAGGAGGGTGAATATTAGATCGTCTATCAATCTGAGAAGGGCGACCACATATCCTTGTTCTTAATCCTTTCTTTTCTTGTCGCATTGTTTCCGTCGCTTTCGCGCGTCTTCCTGATATTTTTTCCGTCCTTTTTTCCGGGACATCTTTCCATCCCAAAAGGATCTAACATATCATTATATTTGCTTTCCAGCTCGCATACTTGATAGTACATGAATTTCTACATGGGTGGAACAGAATGTAATTACCTGTGTGAATCATTCAAGAAATGATGCCAGAGCTCGTGCGAGATGGGCACCCACGAAGAACCAGGACTAGAAATCTGAGAGGTCAACGTTAGGTTTGACATGATACATTGCATTGTTCGATTGCAAGAAATTCGATCAGTGCACAACTAACTACGACCATGAGCCCTAGTGCTACTTGTCGTGTGATCCTGGCGGTGAAGGTCAACACGTTCCAAGCGCCATCGCGGAGGCATCCTCAATCTACCATGAGACCAGCATGAGTAATAACATAAGAACGCCTTGAACCAATGCACATCTGGCAGTGAATCGATGTCAGACGACTCGGGCAATGGGTCGTTCGCTGTCGTGCTTTGCGACACACCGGGCTGCCCTCTAGGTAGATGTCGGGTGTCATTGACTTTCTTGTATTCCGGCAGTTTGACAACAACAAGACGCTGTAGGGTATCGATCAGCAAGAATGGCAAGAGGTGTAAAAAGAACCACATTACAGTGAATTTACGTCCGGCTGCGACTTCAACCTCCTGCGATTCCTGGCTGGGTCTTGACCTACGGAAGGAAAGGTGCTGTCGCAGGAATTGGGGGAATCCGTTCCAGTGGCGTGAACGTTCCTCCTCGGGCTGTGCTTGTTGCAACTGCCTGCGAAATGGGAGACGATTGACGAGGTCCTTGATGCGGGAGTGCCGTGTAGGGTGTTGTGAGCCTCCATCCGCGGATCGGCGGGGTGGATAAGTTCTTTCAGCCTAGACATGTATTCAGTCATGCATTAAGTTGATTGATCGCGAGGACTGACATCATCAAAGAACCCGCGCGGGATTCCAGTACGCACTGGTCGGGACTCTAAACGCGGAATAATTTCCTGCGGAAGAAGCAACATCAGGGATGGCACAACAAGACGAGTGTAAACATACAATCGGTATGGATGGACGAGGGCGGCGGCGGTCATCCTGTATATCATCAATAGTCAGTGTGTACGAGGATGCGTATGGGGGATAAAGGAACCTTTTGTGGCTGTACGTCAAGTTAGCATTAACATTACATGACCAGCAGTGGATGAATCGAAGTTGCTCACCTGTTTGGACTCCTTGTCTGAATCGCTCTGGGGCACTGTCCACACGCGAAGAAGCGCATCGTCACAACCAGTTGCGACAAGCTGACCATCATCGGAAAAGGCCACGCAATACACCGGATCAGGATGCTCCAACGGCTCGCCAATAGGTTCGAACGTGGTCAGGTCAAAGAACCGTGTCATGCCGTCAGCTGACGCACTGGCAACTTTGGTGCCGTCAGGAGCAATGGCCAGTGATTGAAAGAGATCAGTGTGCGCCTCAAACTGTTTGATGATGTCTCCGGTTGCAGCATCTGATATTCGGATGTCGTGGACGGATCCGCTGACCAAACGGAGACCATCTGGAGTAAACGCGACACCCACTGCCTCCTGTTCTATCTTGAGGAGCTCTTTTCCATTTGTTGTATTCCAAATGATGATATGCTTCCCCGTTCCTGCTGCTAGCCTACTCCCATCGAAGGAGTATGACACCGACCACACATTACTCCCCACCTGGAATGGTCCAAGGACAATTTCCCCTGACTTCCTCAGCCAAACGCATACTGTTTCGTCATCCGATGCACTTGCGAATGTTTTGCTGTCCGGCGTAAAGACGACGCTCGAAACTAACTTTTTATGCCCTTTGAACGAGACGGACACTCTTCTTTTCGTCGCTACATCCCAGACCAAGATGCTTCCGTTTGTCGATCCGCTCACAATCCAGCGCCCATTAGGAGATGCTGCAACCGTCCAGACTTCGTCGTCGTGACCTAACAAGGGCTTCCCAACTTGTTGTCCCTTGACTAGATCCCACAGTCGAAGAGTTTTGTCAAGCGAGGCGGTGACGAGGAGATGAGTTCCAGGGATGACAGCCACGCCGTGTACCCATTCTTCATGACCCTCGAGCGTCATTTGAGCCCGAGGTTTTTCCTTTCTAGTGGGTGGCGTAGGCGCCTGAACGGCTACATGGTGAAGTTCGTGAACGCGGGATGCCATCGAATCTTTCTCGGTCAGAGTGAGGGAGATGTCTGACAATCCCTTGACTCGTGATAGACGTGCGGATTTCATCGTCGAGCTTTAACCTGCTAACGGCCTCGTGGTCGGATCCACCCTGCCGCAGTACCGCCCCTCAACGAGTTGTGTAGCCGCTCGTTAAGAAGCGCCTTTGCGAATTGTCGATTCAAGTTGTCCCCGATGGTGCTTTTGACAGTAAAATTTATAGAAAAGCTCACTATTCCTCAACTATTCTGGTGCCAGGGCCCAATAGTCCCATCTGCCTTGTAAACTTTATTTCGTCCATGAAATCCATCTAATCTATTTTGACAACAACATCTATGCCACCACTTGCCCCCATCTTCATTGACACGCTGAGACAACGAGAAAGCTTGAATATGCGAGAGATTTCCAACAGTTGCTGCGCACCTAGACAAGTTGTCAACTAAATATGTTGGGCGATTGGCTTCCATCTGTTCCCTGGTGTGCGATGTGATCAACCCAATCACAGTACATCCAGCGGCAAGACCACTTGCTACGCCTGACGGAGCATCTTCTACAACAAGACCTATAGGACGGGTCAATGTCCTCAACATTGTTCTGACATAATCACTGACACTTTTCCGGCGAAACTTTACATTTTTGTGCACCAAGAAGATATGGGTCAGGGCTAGTGAAGGTGTTCAGTCAGTTCTGAATGTTTCAACGCATGACACTATTCCGCACTAAGGTTTCCCTTGTGTAACATCTTCAGCAGTCACAAAGGCATCTGGGATCGGGATTCCACCAATCTCGAGAGCAGCTGATGCATAGGCACGGGTTGCAGATGTAACAATAGCCCAACATGGCTTGGGATTGTTCTTTCCGGGAGCAAGCTTTGTAATGATCAGTAATTAAGCGCACTGGAAGTAGTATGGTATGTAATTCACCTCATTCATGATGGGGCGAACTCCAGGTAAAAGGGTGATACCCTTTCTGCCATTAGCTGTGGAGGAGGTAACGATGGCCTCCTCGAATCGTGCAGCCTCTTTCTGTTGATAGGCATGAATCAGTATCACGTGTGAATCCACTGAGGAATTGACCACCTCGAGCTCTGTTTCAGACGTAAGTCCACAGTACTTCCTCAGATTGTCAACAGTCCTGACACCATGTGCACCTAATTGTGAAGAGAAGCGACTTACAACAGAAGATCCAGCCTAGAAGTTACTCACTACTCAGGATCTTTGGAATATCTAGGTCAGGATATGTCTCAGCAAACGTCTCCCAGGCTCCGATTACGCCTGCTGTTGAATCTACCAGGGTACCGTCCATATCAAACAAACTGCGATGCTGTTCAAATTTGTCTCCTGGATAGTTTAACTTTGACTTACACGGCATCCACGTGAAAAGTGAGAGCTTCCATCTCTCTTTGTCGAAATATAAGATGATAGAGTCCAAGAGATGAGTCAACGTTCGTTGTGAGTGTGCTTCATGCTGCTAAATTACCGAGTCACTGTATTACCACCCTGGAATATTAGATGATTGACCCTAAAATTAATTGACCGTGTCCCTTGGGTCTCGGCTAAATTTCGGCCGAGCCTACCGTGGCGGAGATATATAATGAAAACCATAGTTTTGCTTGCTTGCTCGGTGGGATGTCCTGGACTCCTAGAGTACTATTATCACTATGTAGCATATGGCACACGAACCAACCATCATCTTTAAGTTGTCGACGTCGCAAACCTTGCTTAGCTCCATTGTCTTGCTGTGCTGACATAGCATGAAGAATTTTTTTGCTCAGCTGTTCTGCGAGACACGATTATGATATTGCTCGTGGCCGGCGCAGGAGTGACTAGGTTTTTAGTAATAGCCCAAGTGCGGGAGCGTTTGGGTTGGATGACAATGAGATTAATAGACAATTTGTCTGAGCACACTCGTAGTACCAGTACAATGTCCCATATCGTGGTCTCATATCGTCCCCAATATGGATGCGTGCCGCTAGACCTCGGACCGACATTTGCGTGCAAGACCGTGTGCTGGACGGAGGTTGAACGGTGTCAGCAAAACCATACGCTAGATCTGAGAAGTTCCAGGAGGAAAGAAGGAAAGAACCAAATAAAGTATAGTGCGGTGGTAGAACAGGTAAGAACGAAAGCAAGGAACCACCATATGCTGAAGGTCCGCTAGTCCCGGGAGAAGGCGGTCCGCCCTTTTCATCATGGGACTCGGGTTGTTTGTATCAGAGGCTGTTGCCAAACAAACGCCAGCCTGGCATCCAAATTGGGACAATACTCTATTGGCAGTCGTAGACTCGTAGTTGCAACCATGGCTCCTCAAAGGCGCCCACAATATACCCAAGAGAACATCGACCAGCAGCTGCAACAAATACATCTTCTCGATCCATCCTCGTCTTCCGAGAACCTCGAACAACTCGGACCTATCATCAAGCAGATTCATGCGAACCGTCAGCAGGAAGCATACCTGCGCAATCTTCAGGCTCTCATTGCAACAAAGGACAGCGAGATCGAGCAAATATGCACGGACAACTATCAAGAATTCATTTCCTCCGCTTCGACTCTTTTCACAGTCAAGTCATATACTAATAACCTCAGGGACAAGATTACAACTTTGGACGCCAGCGTATCTCAGGTCGGTCGAGGCTTGGTAGAGAAGAAAAGAACTTTACTGCAGTCAAAGAAGACAGCAGCTAAACTTGATGAAGCAATTGATACTCTGCAAGCTTGTTTGAAAGTCCTGGACGTTGTGAACCGAATCGGCGAATTAATCAAGGAGGGGAAGTATTGGAGTGCCCTGCGGGTATGTAACGCCACTACTGCGGCCCGTGAGGTGACTGAAAGGAATCAATAGTCGCTGGAAGACATACAGAGTCTGCCTTCGAATTCGCTATCCCAGACGCCATTCTACCAGTATCTCCTGTCCTCTCTGCCTTCGCTGCGGATTCAAATTCAGAATGCGGTGACAGCCTCTATGAAGCAATGGTTGCTGGAGATTCGGAATGTTAGTGGGTTGGTTGGTAAATTGGCATTGGAAGCAATGGACTACCGGACGCGCAAGTGGAGATCACGTCGAGATAAAGATCCTATGCTGAGGTTGAGCCGTGTTGGAAGCGCAGTGGAAATGGTGATCCAAGAGCGGTCTGACAGTGAGTTCTACTCTTTCCCTCATTGCAACCGGTCAATTAACATCTTGCTATTAGCCAATGTTCTCGACAGTGAGAAATTGAAGGTTGATTTCACGCCTCTTTACCAGTGCATACATATCTACACGACGTTGGATTCAATTGATGACCTGCGAAGATCTTATCAAGCAGATCGTAAAGTGCGGCAGCGTTTTGCTTTCTCTTCTCGCCAACTCAATCTCAATGCAGGCGCAATCAGACCTTATTTTACCCGATCCACTTCCGCTCGCCTCCCTGGTCAGCCTAACTCAGGAAATATGCGGATTTTTTATCATAGAATCGCATGTTCTAGAGACGACTGGCAACTTCCGTTCTGAGAGAGAGGTCGAGGAGCTATGGGAAGCGCTAGTTGCGCGTCTTTCATCAGCTGTTAGCGCGTCTTTGGCAAACGAGACTGACCCGGATTCCTTTTTGAGGGTCAAGGAGTGTCTCATTGGATTTGTCACGACGCTGGAGGTATGTATCTAATATTAATCACAAAAAAAAATTCAAAAAGTGACCGCCTTGCTAGTCCTGTTCATATGCCACCCAGTCACTGCATTCACTCATCCTTATGTTGTTCGAGAAATATGCCGGCCTTCTTGAAGGCCAGTTCAGTCGTAGGTTCGATGTTGTAAGTTGTACAAGGTTGTTCTTGTGTCGATCACACTCAAGATTTACAATCCAGATTTTCCTCCAAGACGACCATCTCCCCATGCAAGTTACAATACCATCAGAAAGAGATTCTGTGCTTGCAGTCGTATGGTTGGACCCATCAGAACAAGACGCTCTCTCAAAGTATGTCATCACATCCTTCTGGGAATAAGCAGCTCAGGGGTTCCGTAGAAGCGGTCTCCCTCTCAGTCTGCCATGGTCGCAAGGTTTCTTCCTGTGCTGCCAAGATGTAATGTGTCATTGTTTCCACTTCATTGTTGAGCTCATTTGTCAATATATACCTGCAGATCCGAAACTTCATACAAAAGTTTTATCACTTTGTTGATGGAGTGTCACAACATCATGGCAATATTGACGAACTATTGAACAAGGTGAGCATATTGTGGATCACGATGTCAAATCAATCAAACTTGATTGGACAGTCGCTAGACAAACTGCTTGCGAACCATATCAGCGACAGCATTTCCAAGTGCTTAAGTAGCACATCAACGCTTAGTCAAGTCGTTCAGATTGTTTCAAATCTCGAGCATTTTGAGGTTGCATGTTCCGAACTGGAGCGTTCACTGACGAGTCTCCGGTAAAGTGTTCGTCATAATTCATCTGTAACTTTCTCAAGTCCCTTCCATCAGGTCAACACAGCGGGGTGGTGCTATCCGGCTGTCTTCTTCCTCTTCTTTCGCCAACACCGTCACCCGTGCCCTCCACCGCGTGACGGGTCTTATCACTTCTAAACTAGACGACTTCTTTGATTTGGCAGAGTACGATTGGACGCCGCAATCCCGCGAGGACACACCCAGCATGTACTTATATGAGCTTATCAACTGGCTCACGACAGTTGTGGACTCTCTCGTCATCAAGGAAATATACAAGGACGAGGCATACCGAGGAGCAGTTGGATATATCGCTGAGTGCTTGATGGTGAGCAGGTGGTTCGTCAGCGCGTCAGCATGCACTGGGCGCTCATGGCTTTTCACAACCAGAACTTCATGATCGGGCCTGACGTCCCAGCGATGAACGAGAACGCCATCTCAAATATTTTAGTGGATACAGAGTTCCTGGAGGGGGAATTAACCCGTATCGGCCGGGGCCATCTCAGTTCGGTTTTCGCTGAGCTTCACTCGGTAAAAACATACCCACCTCCATTCTGGCTTTGCTAACAGTGCTACAAATGCTGTAGATGACGTCGGTCATATTAAACGACGCTGTACAAGACTATTTAGTACCGCAGGTCCGGCAGACAACGTATTCCGTTGTCCGACCGAAGAGACTCCAGACACTCCTTGAGAAACTAACCAGATACGGGTCGAGTCGGCGTGACGCCCAATCACGAGAAAGAGGGGAGAGACGGAGGAAGGAAGCGGATGCCGTTGGGCGGGTATTTCCCGGAGAAAACCGATGATGCATGTCGCATACCCTTTTTTTGTCGAGCCTTGCGGTGTGCACAACTTCCTGATCCGTTGAGAGCAGTGCATATCAACCTCTAAGGCTCCAAATTTACAAAAAAACATGAAAGAGAAAATGGGAAATTCAAGAGGGAGTGTAAGCGAAGGCAGAGTAAAAACATAGCAGACGGGCGTATAATTTTCGATATCATAAGGATCAGGAGACAACGCGCGTGCAAGATCCAAACACGACAGAAAACTATATATCGCTTAAGACCGACGCTTAATGTTGGTCGCCAACCACTCCAGACCCTCGTACAGTCCATCACCAGAAGTGGCACATGCAGCCTAACAGCGTCTACTATTAGCGGATCCGATGATCGGGGAAATAAACGACAGACCTGGATATACCACGTTCTCTGCCTAAGCGCTTGTAATCCAAGCTTGTCAGTGATCTCTGCTGCGTTCATAGCGTTGGGGAGATCTTGCTTGTTTGCGAAAACAAGGAGGAGAGCATCCCGCAGCTCATCTTCGTTCAACATCCGTTGAAGTTCCTCACGAGCCTCCGACACACGTTCCCGATCGTTCGAGTCGACGACAAAGATGATACCTTGCGTGTTTTGGAAATCTGAAGAAATCTGATAAGCTCGGGCGATGACGTAGATAGAAAGACAGCATACAGTGCCTCCAGAGAGGACGGATCTTGTCTTGTCCTCCGACATCCCACACAGTAAAGGAAATGTTCTTATATTCGACAGTCTCAACGTTAAATCCTGCGACAGAGTTAGAGGACTTTATATCTTAGGTAAATGTGAGCAGCTTACCGATGGTGGGGATGGTAGTTACAATCTCGCCCAGCTTGAGCTTATACAGGATGGTAGTCTTACCAGCGGCGTCAAGACCGACCTGGATGAAAGTTAGTAAACGGCACTGTGACTTGAACTCAATTTCCGACCATCAAAATTCCTGGAAGAAGGTACAATATCAGTTTCTAGTCGATGTCAGGGATCATGGTATAGATGGTGAGGACTTACGCATCTCCTTCTTGCCAAAAAGACCAGCAAGGAGACGTGACACCGAGAGACCCATGTTGAGCTAGGAAGTGCAAGGACGTTAATGAGTTGTAAACTGAAGGTCAAGAACAAGTTTGTCGTCGTGTGTGAACCACCCTTTTGAACTCCGCCGGTGGCGGTTCACTTCTTGGTCTTCCACGTCTGCCGGTTACATATCTCATCACCAACTATTAAACCAACTCAGCCTTGACACAGACCTTAAGGGGGCCATGCAGCGGACAATAATGCCCTCTCCATGACTAAACTTGATAACACTTCACTATATTGCGAACGTACTACGAATCCCAATTTACTTTCTCGTCCTACCAAACCACATAGAACTAAGAAGCATAATCTACCAACGACGCTTCTTGAGATTGGTTGCCAACCATTCTAGGCCTTCGTACAGTCCTTCGCCCGAAGTTGCGCAAGTAGACTGCCACACATCAGTGCAGGTCCGCATATGGACAGGGAATGCGTACCTGTATATACCACGTTCTCTGTCCAAACACCCGCAATTCTAGTTTATCGGTGAGTTCACTCGCGCTCATAGCGCCAGGCATGTCCTGCTTATTCGCAAACACAAGCAACAGCGAGTCTTTTAATTGTTCGTCATTCATCAGCGCGTGAAGTTCCTCTTTCGCTTCTGGAATGCGATCGCGATCGCTGGAATCGACTACAAAAATGATGCTCTCTGCATTATTAAAGTCTAGATAATAATGAGAGACCATTTGCACGACCACAGAGTGAATGTCGTACAGTACTTCCAGAGAAGACGAATCTTTTGCTGACCTCCTACGTCCCACACGGTGAACTGGAGTTTCTTGTACGCAACCGTCTCTACGTTGAATCCTGCATTTATATGATAAACAAGGCCAGTAGGTCACACTAACTCATTTACCTATTGTAGGAACGGTCGTGACGATCTCGCCGAGCTTTAGCTTGTAGAGGATCGTTGTCTTTCCCGCACCGTCGAGTCCAACCTAATGATCCCGTGAATGCCGTCTCGATATCATCTTGTTTAGGACAATACCATCAGTAGTCCTGTAGGATGTGTTGAGCAGCCCGTTTCGATCGAGACTTTGTGACTGGCACTTACTTGTCTCCTGTTGGGTGAATAACCCTGAAAAAATGTGAGAAATAACAAGTCCCATAGTGTTTCTGTGGTGATCTAATCGTCTGGCCATGAGCGCCTTTATATATTGAGTATTCTCGTGACACGTTCGAGGGTGTTTTCAATACGTGTCCCTGGTAGACTGCTGCGCTTACACGAATCACTTAGATCCTGACTCGCAAATTTCGGCAGCTGCGGTGAAATACTTGACACGAGTCATTTACTGTCAGTGTGCGTCTACTTTCACACTACTTTGTGACTCGCCGAGACTTAACGTTCTCTTGTATTTGATGTTGCCAGAGCCTCTGGTTTCATACGATATGTTTGCCACGCATGTGCAATCGCAGGCCGAGCGCTTTGAGTGTGGCAATGAGGCATCGAGTTAATGACGGTGACTCGTCGGTGAGCTTTCCATAGTGTAAGATCGACTGAACTGAATTATATGCGCAGATTCCTGATGAGATTAGCTTTGATCACAGCCTCAGATTAAGATCTAGCGCTAATGGCCACACGACAAAGTCATCTATGTTACTCAGATTGGAGTTGTTGGTCTTCGTGGCAGGTCTGAGCACATGGAAATCATGGGGCATTATTCCGACACGACAAAAGGCGGGGTAACATATGAAGTAAGATTTGCAATACAAGAGCGATACAAAAACATGATACAAAAACACTTGATACACGAAGTACATGATACAAGAACGCGATACAAAGATACAAGAACACGATACAAAGACAAAAGAACACGATACAAAGTGAAGCCGAGCTGCACGGAAAACATGATGATGCTATAGGGAAAGATGCCAAAAGACCTGTTGTACAACAAGATAAACGATCCACTATGCTTTATAGGTGTAGAATTAGAATGTCTAATGATCGAACTAGGAAGGTATGCAATCGAGTGGCTTTGGATTAGCTTACTTTTTCAGGTATGCCGCCATCTCGATTGAGCGACAACCCGGTTTCTTAACTGGCCTGTAAGGCATTGGTGACCCTCTGCCGCCACGAGCGGTAAATTCCGCAGGAGGGGCTGGGAGCGTATCTGCAGAGTTCAAAAAGAACCAACTGCTCTTGAAAACCAGCGTTGAACCAGACTTGTTCACGGGCTAATTTAGGCCAGTGAGTCTTATCGTACTCGCTGACAAATAGAGTGGAGCCGACCTTTTCTTACGACGTCCATGGCATGCGTCGCGTCCATGCGTTTCGTGTACATGACTAGGAGAGATATTCAGCTAGCCGCCACTGAGCTTAGCGGGAAGACAACTAACGGTATGCGGCGACTACTGTCGCACTGCGGGATAAACCCTGTAGGCAGTGTACCAACACCACCCCTTTGGCTTGCAGGGCTCGGTCAATGAACTGACACACAGCGGGCATGTGTATCAGGAGGTCAGCAGTGTCGACATCCTCTACAGGAATTCGGAGAAAGGTAATTCCACTTTCGGGCAGCTCGGAGGGGATAGGGTCGTTGCAAACGGAGACAATATGGGAAATATTGCGCTCCGATAATGACCGCGGTGATCTTGCTGCATGGATACTGGGTAAAGAAATCGGAAATAAGAGTCTGGACCATACAGCAATCCGAATCCGTGGTATACTGACTTTCCAAGATACAGCTTGCCCTCGATGATTGTGTCGACGTTCTTCCAGCCCATGTTGTTTAGCTGATTTGTTTTGGAAAACTTGCGAAAATGTCTAAAGTCCTGCTCAGAGTCACTGTTGGTTTTGTACCTCCTCGCACATGGACTGTTCTGCCTTCCGAACACGGCTCGGAGAGGATGGAGTAGCCGTGTTTGTGACCACCATTGTTCAGTATTCTGTGAGGTAGAAAAGTGGCGGTGTGGTAAACGGCTTCATAACGGCCAATTTCGAGCGGGAGACGAACGAGAGATGAAAGCAGTGTAATGGACACTTGTGAATTCAAGCGCGTTCACCGCCACCCCAAGCCATGACGCTGAAAACACACTATATTTTTGAGATCACTATTAACGAGACGGATGTAGCTAATCGTGGCTTACGTGATGTCCGGGGGCACCCTCCCCAGTAATCCTGTGCTCTTCCCTCCTTCGATTCTTCTCGCAAGAACGTGAGATGCTGTAAACTATCCAAATAAGGCAAGTGTGAGGCCCCCTACGGTGATACGCTAGTAAGTCCGTGAACATTCCGGGTATTGCAGTCACCCGAGTCCACCACAAGTTGCAAGTGGTATGTCAGGTGCAGCTCTATTGTCAGTGCAGCATGCAGTGTATAGCAACGAAGGCTGTCTTGAAACGACGTCATCGATGTGCACTGAAGATTTCTGAACGTGTATTTACCATGATACATATAATCATCGTGAATGCAATCATGCGGCTTAATCCGGGTGGAAAAAAAATCAATGTGCGAATATGCAAATTTTGAGGCCTTGCGAAGATCCAATGGAGCGAATTATGTTGATAGAAGGCGCTGTGGAAAGCGGAACATGCAATAGACAGATTGATAGGCACCGGGAACTGGACGTACCTAAAGCCGCAACGTTTGCGAGGATTGTGGTCAAACTTGAAAACATTAGACTTATGTTTGTCTCACGCTCGATAATGGCCCCTGTTCCCGACAGCAGGAACGGATAACATCACGGACCGTTGCAAGACCGTCACTGGCTACGGTGTCACTCCGACTCATTGGGGCGTTGCGGCTTAGTGCTAATAAACGAGTTGATTGCCCCGAGGGTACCACGTGAGGACGGTTGATTTTCAGAGGGAGTGCCTGCTGCAGCACGGACCAAATCAACAAGTACTCGAAAATTTAATGTTGGCGTGGACCGTGGCCGCTGGCGGCATGGCTACCATGGCACCTGTCAAGAAACATGCCTAAGGAGTGCTAATAACACGTTCCGGCGGCCGCATCGCCGAATGGCGTGTTTTTAGAAATTACTAAGATGCCGCCTGCAGCCGCCAGCCTCCTGCCTGTCCAACACAACAGTTATTAAGCATGTTCAGCGGCCAGAACCCATCTCACTCTTATCAATTTTTCCCTCGTGTCACTATCAGTACTCTACTATCTCGTTGCGATGAAGTTTGAGGTTGTATGGAAATCATCAGTGAGTTGGTCTTAAAGTCCTTGTCTGAGAATCTAATGACCAGTAAAGCATTACCACTCTGATGGTCGTCGCCGGAGCAGACCGAAGGCTTCGACCTTCCATGGATGGCTAGTCAAATGGCGCGCTACGTTTAGTGGAAATGAGCACCTTCGAGGAGAAGGTATGCGCGAAATGCGCGAAGCTAAAGCCATGCGGGAATACAAGCGACAGCAGAAGGCTGCTAAGAGAGCCAAGAATGGCCGGGCGAAGCCGGGACTGTTCTCAAGATTCAGCTTTGGAAAACCAAAGACAAGACGGGCTCTTAGACCCGGCACGCTGGCTCGAGACTCGCACAGTTCTCGCAAGAGCAACAACAGCCGACAAGCGGTCCTTACGAGGACTGCAATCAGTCGACGACCTACAAGACAGAGTTCACGTCAACCGTCATATAACTCTAAACGAGATGTCGCACGAACGAGGTCTTCCCAAAAATGATCACACTGTATCCTGACATGTTGAGGTACTATCTATTATCATAATTATGTATTTGAACACTCCACCTGCAGGGATATATTTATCACGGAAGTCATGCTGTAATAACTCGTATTCGCCTCTCTTAGGAGTACCAGTCGATAGTATGTAGATGCCGGACCATAGGGAACTATAATGATAACGGTCAACTCGAATTGGTAGGCTTGGAATGTTTGTGCATTATGTGGGAAGGCGACGTGACAATGTGAGGCGGGGGGGCTAGATTTCAACAATATGCAATGAATCGCCAGGTACACGGCAGACTCGGGTCGGGTCCTTCAAGTAGATGGAAGAGATGAAAATATGATACACGTGGATGTGAGATATTAGATCTGCATGGCCAATTACGAAGTGTATGATCGAGATTAACCGTCCGCGTCAACTTTGAAAAGGGTGTTTTTTCTTTTTTCGCCTTTTGCGCTTCTTCTTGGGACTATCCGGGTGGTCATCCTTACCGGATCCATCGCCTCGATCCGGTGGACCATCAAGGTTCAGCAGCGGAACCGTTAAACGCGGAGCCTCTGGATGTCGAGGTGCATGCGGGGGTGGTGGATGATGTTGGGTCGACATATCCGGGACATTCAATTCGCCATCCCGTTTCAACTCTGTCTGTTGTTTACTTCCGTGTATCGAAACAGCAGAACAATGACTCACCTGTATGTAAAGCGACCATTGAAAATGGACCGGATGTCGAAAATGAAACGGAAGACAATTCACTGCCGAGAGGAGGCGAATTGACAGAGAGACTTTGATTGCCGGATCGATCTGGGGTGGTAATAGACCGCGAATGGGGGATCGCCTGCTCTTGGAAGCTCATGCTTCGTTCGCTGCAAGTGGCAGAGCGCTTCCGCGGCTTCTTATCTCTCTTCTTCGCAGACGAGTCTGAGTTGATTTTACTCGCTTCAAGCGGAGACGATAAGGAAGGAACGTTGCGACCTTGTTCCAAATCATCACCCCCGGTCATGCTATCCCCATCGTCCGCCTGCTGATGCGGGGAGCTCGGCTTATGAGTTGATTGTGTGACAGAGTTCCCAAAGATGTTCGGTTTCGTCTTTGATCTTACTGCGAACGGATCAAGTTTCGTTTTCTTTCTAACCGTCCCTCCCCTTCTTTCTTCGTCTCCTGAATGATGTTCCGTCTTGAGGGTAGTATCATCTTCGGGGGCGCGCTTGACTCCTTTCCCTATCAAGTTATGCTTTAGACGCGCAGCGTCACGAGCTGTTGTAGAAGATTCTGGTATCGGAGCACCGACACCAAGTCTACTCAGTAATATGATGTCAATCGTAGAAACCATGACTATTATCTATACTATAACACACCTAGGAGGTCTACGTAGTTGTTCGTCGAGTAACTTTTGGGCGTCCACTCCGCTTTTGCTGAGATTAGCTTTATGTGCAGGCTTTATCCACGATGAGACTAGATCTTCTGCAAATGACATGGACATATTAATTTGGGCCTGCAATGTTTCTGTATCAATGTCATCGTCAGCTAGCAGATCCATTGGTTCTGTCGTGGACATCCTGCAAGAGATGAATAGTGAAATGTATGGGATCGTAGTTTCGAGGCATGGAGCACCCCTGTGTGCAATAAATTTTCAGTTTGGAGTTTGGTATCATTTCCCGCGGTCCAAGATATTCGCCTAATCACACCAAATATCTTCCTAACTTGAAGTCGGTCACTCACGTCGCCATACGCAAGGCTGAAATGATTTCCATTGGTCTCAAACGCAAATGGGAAGATGCAGAGTATGATTCAGACGACGATGAACCATCTTTCGGAAAGCAAACATTGCCCGTGGCTAATCTACCTATGGACTTTGACCGCGAGCCAGAAGATGGACTGCAATATCTGTTTACGGTCAGGTGAGTTGACATGGTTGCGTTTGGTTCTCTGTTAACATTTCCACAGACGCGATGCACGGCGACTACCGCACGTCACGAGGGTCGCTAACCCGTACGAACTGCCCGAACCTGTCCCGCCGCCTGATCTTGTGCAGCCCGACAGCTCACGTAGCAACCTTCCATCTGAACTTTGGCGCTCTACTTTCTTAACACACTTTCGAAATTTCAGAAAGGTAACTGTACGCCGTCAGGCTTGTGTGCCTGAATGTGTGATGAACTTTGTCCTCCAGAATATCGCTCAACCAACTATCCACGTACATATTGATCCACATGGATCACGGAAGGTTATGCCAGATAAGAAAGAAAGAGATCTTTGGTGGACATTTCTCGCCGGTTCACCGGAATCGGACTGGAACCCACCCAAAAAAACAAAGAAAATGTCGAAGAAGAACAGATTTTCCGGTCACATGTCAGCGTTTTGCGACGAGATAGAGGCGGAACATAACACTAATGACCAGCAAAATTGTGACGAAACTCACGAGACCTGGCGTATCAATTCAGAGGGTGACGTTGAACTCGCGGATGATAATCTAGCAGATACACCATCGTCCGCAGCTCAGCCATGTCCCAATAATTCTGAATTATCCATGTCAACGGTGGAGACAGAACTCCGAAACACGAGTCTCCTGTCAACTCGTCCAGGCCCAGAACAGCTTTGTAAGCCTCGTGAGATCACCCCCTCATTGCTGCGAAAAATAGACCATGTGCGTATGTCAACGCCTTCGTACAAGCACCTCATGCTAAATAAAGTACAGAATCTATCCCTCCACCTTCTTATGTACTTCGCTCACTGGATGAACGTCCATCTGCAGCACCCCGCTGAACCAACCTTTGCGATCCTTGAGAGTCATGCACGTTGGATGTTTGCGTTGTTAGCTAAAGTGGAAGACTTCATTTCAGCGGATGACATGAGCCAACTCAGGAACCTAGCCCGTGCTTGTTTGGAGCTACTTGTTCGGCGACAGAAGGCCGGGGGGGCTGGAGTGCCTGATAATTTGTCACCCAAAATCGTCATGGCTGAAACATCATGCTGGATCATTTTTACTGCCGTCTCTGGCATATGGGGCCAAAGTGATCTTTGGCGGGACGCGGACACGTTATTGGCGAGTGCTTAATGTCGTATGGCTATATCACTGGTTACCTTAGAGCTAATTCAATAGCATTCTTCCGCGCTGAACGGCCCGCTGGTTGGACGTGAACGCTCGTGTGCACCGCATGAGACGGGAGGAACCTCGACTTCTGTTTTCAATTTCAAGTCGGAGACATGATTGTAATGGTGTTTGACGCGTGAAGCAATGAACGACCGGTACTTCATTCCGATGGTGTCGGGCATTCTCTGTGCTTGGTACCTCAGTCACCGGTGCTCATGCATCATGGCCAGGCCTTAGACGTTCTCTTCATCGGAAGCCCGGACAAACAGGCCTTCAAGTTATAATAGTTATCTCTCTTGCTTATCACACGTTGTACCATGAACCCCTTGATCACTTGATCATACTATTCGCCGGTGCACGGGCTGAAACCTAGCTTTGATGTCCATTGTCATATGTCAACATGCATGTCTTGGCGATCTATATATTCATCGGAAACAGCCAATTAAATTCAACATGCCGTGGGAACTGAACTGTAACATGCCGTGGGAATTGTACATGCGATAGCTTATTCGGGTCACCATCATCAGAGATGCAGACGTAAATTATGTACAAGCGAGACTAGGCAACAACCTTTTCAAGGACCACGTTCGTTACCCTTCAAAACAGAAGTCAGACCTTTTTTTTCACCCCCCACCATCGCCTACTTACTGGTTCTGCAAGCATGCGTTCCTCCGCCGCTATCCTTTTGGCCTCTATCGCATCGGCTTTTGCCTACGAGGTCACCTCTCCAGGTGAAGGCGAGAATTGGACAACTGCTGGACCCAACACCTTGACGTGGCAGCGCGTTGACACCGACCCATTGAACTTCACGGCTGTGTTGACCAACGAGGCATGTGTATTAACATGCGCTTTACCAAGGAATTCTAACACTTTTCGCTCAGGACTTGCAGGTCGCCATGCCACAGGGTCCTCAGGTCCTCAACGCACTCGTTGACGGAACCTTGGGCTCAATCGTCTGCAACGCTCCCAGTGGAGGTTGGCCTACGGGCTCTGGCTACCGTGTCAACTTTGCTGCAAATGCTGAAAATCTTGACACCTTGCTTGCTCAGTCCAACCAATTCAACATCAACTCGTCTTCTTCTTCTTCGACGACAACTTCTACCACAACAACTGGCACTGGCACTACCTCTTCTTCGTAAGTTTTATTCCATCTCAAGTTGTTATCTCTAACCATTTTCTTCATAGCTCTGGGGCTACCGCAACAACTCCGACTACTGCTGCAGGGTCTTCCACCACCTCGGATACTAGCACAACCCCTTCTAGTACTAGCGCAGCCATGCTTGGAATGAAAGTGGAGACAGGTTTCCTGACCGCCGTTGCAGCCTTCGCTGCCTTTATTGCCACTCATTTCTGAACATTTGCGTAAAAATGGATTATACTCGGATACTCGGATATTTTCTCTTCGCGTAGTGATTTTTTTGGGTTTGCATCATGATAATGGCTGCTGTGATATGGACATTTTCCTGATACCCTTTTACCTCGTTGCACCGATTCATTCTTCATTATTGTATCGTACATTGTTCTCGCCTTGCTCTCGAGATCTGTCGATAGTCATAATCAGCGGTAGCTTTTCACCACCCATTGGGTGGGGTTGGTAGTCTCCCATTTCCGAGTCAGACGTCGTTCCTCCTTTTCCCACCTCACCTCCTAAGCTCTGTTGAACCAACAATGTCTACCAACTCTTATGAACATCTACTTCCTCCCAGTTGGAAGGCTCAAGTCACGGGCTGGTTTGCAGAGGATACACCATCATTTGATTACGGTGGTTATGTCGTGGGTGAAGTTCACCGCGAAGCATTTCTTTTTGGGAAAGGCAAACAGACCGCGGTCTTGGCCGGACGGCCCTTCTTCACTGAAGTCTTTGCGCAGCTTGGATGCGAGTACGTTCTCAGGTTGATGGCATCAATTTGCTGTGTTTTAATGGACCTGCAGGGTTGAATGGCACTTGCAGGAGGGTGAGACTTTCGAGCCCGTCAAGCATGTCGCTACTGTTCGAGGCAAGGCAAGGCACCTTCTGCTTGGCGAGCGTATCGCCTTGAATATGCTTGCGAGATGCAGCGGCATCGCAACTAAGTAAGCCGCATTGATCGTACCTAATACCTATCATGTTTACGCCTCCATTTTCCTCGGAAGATCTAAACTTATCAAAGATCTTGCAGTAGATTATGGTTACAAGGGTATCATTGCTGGGACCAGGAAGACAACTCCAGGTAAGCTGCCCCTTCAAGCAGCTTAATCCGCTCACAATCGCCAGGGTTTCGGTTGGTCGAAAAGTATGGAATGATTGTGGGGGGTATTGACCCTCACCGTCATGATCTTTCGAGTATGATCATGCTTAAGGACAATCATATATGGTCATCCGGTACGCCTCGGTCTACGAAGTACTTAATTAAAGACCAGCTGATATCGATCCAAGGATCAATCACCGCCGCAATCCAACAGGCTCGTGCAGTAGGCGGCTTTAGCTTGTTGCTTGATGTGGAAGTTGGTTCAGAAGCTGAAGCAGATGAGGCAATTGAAGCAGGCGCTGACATCATCATGCTGGACAATATGGAAGGGGAACATCTCGTGAGCGTCGCTCGAAAGCTCAAGGAGAAGTGGGCTGGGAAACGGAAGTTCCTCTTCGAGACGAGCGGTAACATCACCGAGGCTAACTTGCAGGAGCGTGCAGTCAATGGTCAGTGGATGTTTCCTTCTTGATGGTCTTTATTTACCATGTCGTAATAGATATCGACATCCTCAGCACAAGTGTTGTTCATCAATCCGTCCAACACATAGATTTCAGCTTGAAGATCCAGATTCCTAATTAACGGACAACGGATATACATCATGTGTATACTTGATCGTGGAGATCAAAAAGTCTAAGGGCATTCAAACCTAGTATGTTAGCCTGATGTTCCGGTGTGGAATCTACACCAGCCATACTCCGGATGGCTGCCAGATTACTTTCTACACTTGGCCATTTTTGGCTTGCTTCAAGTGGCGGGAAGAATGGGTGATCGGTACCAAACAATAGTCTGGTACTTCCAACTGCAAGATCAACAGTCCCCCCGCTATTCTTGAACGTAGATGCACGAGAAATGGTTCGGCTAACGAAGGTCAACTCTTCGGACCCGTATGCAACAGCGTCGAAATAGAGTTGGCCAAGGTAATATCTTGCATCATGTTTCAACCTATTCGCAACGATAGGATCATGTTGGATGCACGAGGCCAGTCGAGATGACAGCTGAGGCAAGGCTCCCCCGGAATGGGCTAGGAGTAAACGGAGGTCCGGGAAACGATCCAAAACACCCGAGAGAATGAGGCGCGTGACGGCCTAAACATCCATGTAAAAACTCATTCCCAATCATCAGACGCAAAATATTACCCACAATGGTTGTCTCAAAAGGAAAGCCCAAGGCCAGTGGCAACACATGTCCATTATCATTCTCTCCAAACGCTGTACTGTCAACACCATAATGTGGGTGTATGAAGACGACAAGCCTCGCTGCCTGGATAGCGTCCCAGACTGGGTCCAACGCATTGTCATCGAGACCTTTCCCGATCCCCTTGGTTCCCATGATGATGCCTCGGATGTGAGGGAGTGATTTAAGATGTTCTATAGTTTGAATGATGGTAGACACTTCTACATCCGGGACAAGAGGGAGAAGGCCGAAGCCGTAGAGTGTCTTTAGACCAGAGAACCCCTCGGCAGGGGGAGAAGTTGCACAATACTCTTCAAGGTTATTGTTCAGTTCGTGAGCTAGCGTTTGAGCCCGATCCGCTGGCAAGAAATCGAGCCATGGATTGGCTGAACTGCCGAAGAGAGTGTTCGGTTACTCTGTACTATCCGAAGAAGCGAAGTAACAAACCTCACGAATGAGATGTTTATACCATGCCTCCGCATGAATTCGAGCTTCTCATCTCGATCCCAGTACTGATATATTCTAAGTGAAAGTGCCTGCACTTCATTTGAAAGAGCAGACATACCTGAGGACCAATTGGGCGACCACCACTTGGCTCTCCATCCAAAATCAACAGTCTTTCTTCAGTCTTGGCCCCGTTTGTCCAGTTCAAAATACGGGGAGCTGAGGTTCTTGCACGAAGCTCGGCTGCGTACCGGGGCAAGTAAACATGGGTGTGCACGTCAATAATCGGATGCCTTATGTTTGCCATGCTCGTGATGCTTTTAAGCAGCTCAGTCATAACGCGCTGACCTGGCTTGAGTGGATTCATCGATCGATAATCGATAAGACCCCTTGCCACACAGGCGCTGGGACGAATTTGAATAGATTTGGCTAGTGGGTGGCCGCCGATGAGGCTAATTGAAGGTAGTATTTTTGCCGCCGTGCCGGGACCTTTTCAATTGAATAGTCACGTATTCAAGGGTTCAATTTCAAACCATTTGTCGGCAGCGTCAACAAGCAGGCATGCTGCATGCTAGTCGGCTAACGCTTTTACTTCAGAACACTCATGGCTAACGAACTGCAGGCGCGTTCCCCGCTATCCAGAGCGCGTGGAGTTCATGAAGAGGTTTGTGGTTTTTGTTTCTACGATACCAACACGGCCACTCATAGTGTAGCCAGTGGACGCAGGTCACAGATTCGCTCCGCCGTATAGGCAATGAGCTCAACCAAGTAGTTATCGACTCAGTGGACGAATCTAGAGCGCACAAAACTCGAGCTACGGAATGGGAAATCAGACATGATGATGTTGTCACGGAGAACAACGCCTTCAGAGCCCATAACGAGGAATTGAAACGTCTACTCGAACTCAACCAGCCTGATGTAGGGAGCGCGATCGAGGGTAGAGACGCCGCATATCGTAAACTGCGACATGTCCGGCGCGTAATGCGCAATCTCTTGGTGGATTTGGCGGTAACGCAACTACCTTCTTTGTCGAATTACGTCCCTGAACTCAAGGTTCATATCGCAGCTTGATTTTGGAGATAGCCCAAGTGAAGGTGCTTCGTTGCTGTTACAGTCAGAACCTCAGCCACGATACAAGGAGATTGGTGCCTCCCCGTCCCCTTCTGGCCACAGTCGCAGAAACGATGAGTCCTCTAACAGCTCTGGTTCTGGCAACACTGCGCTCCCGATATCTAAGGGAAAGGAACGTAGCTCGCTCAAAACCCCGATGATCGTGCCGGCTTCATCTCCAGCCTCGACTTCATACTCTCGTGCATCAAGAACAGGAGTGAGCGGAGCTGTATCTGATCTCAGCAATCAGCAGAGATCATCTGGATCCAACAAATCATCCGAGCCTTCTGTGGACTTGTCTGTACATGCTGCGAGAAACTCTTCTGGGGGTGGCGGCGATATTTGGAGGCTGACTTCATCTCGCAGCCCCCGGAGTGCGGAAGTAATTTGTCCGGTTGACATGCAATTGTTGCAGGAACAGCTGAACCTTGGCGAAAACACGGTCAGTAATCCAAGTATTTTTTATGTACAATCTAACGTTGTACAGATATACTCTCTAGAAAGGTGCCTAGTTTTCTTACTAGGAGTCCACCCATGTTGAACCCATATCAGCCTTGGACAGGCGGATGAACACTGTTTCCGTTTACAGATTGTCGACAACATGGCATTTGTCCACGACCCGTTCTCGATGGATGGACCAGGCGAATCTCTTCTGATGGACTGGGGCACCCCAGATGCTAACGAGACAGTCCATGCGTACATTGTCAAGAAACGCCCTAGAGACCGTGTTCTTCACACGTTCACCTTTCCCGTGAAGAGAGTGAGCTCTTACTCACGATCAGATTCTGATCATTTTATTTGATCATATATAACAGGGAGTTTGGTATTATATTGGCGCCCACAAATGGAACGTGAAGGACCTTTTTGAGGTCTGGCCTACTCTGGGTGATAAAGTAAGTTTGGGGAGCCTGTACTAGGGTCGTTGACTTTAATTTTTGTCAAGGCTAAGGAAGTCGTTACCGGTAAACTGCAGAGACGTTGCAGCCGCAGGCTCTCCCAGCAAGAAATTACTGAGATGATTCAAGACGGGCGACTTCAACAGTTCTGTATTGAAGTGAGCAGTCAGTCGTTGAAGGATCTCAGTCGAGGATTTGCGAAGACAAGTTTAGGTTACGAGGGAGGGAACGTTGTCCAATGATCCTGATGGTATCTTGGTGTATCTTTTTTTCGTTGCCATGTTTTATGCTTGGTCAACGGTGAATGTACAATGGAGGACAGGATTTGCACAATACGATCAGACACAATTGAGTACGTTTCACCAGCACGTTAGAACTGCCATGAGTGATATATCAAGAAGGCGCGGCGGATTCAAAATTTATGGGCGAGTTGCCATCGATGGCCATATGGTATGTGTGACCGGTTGACCCATCATGAATCTATAAAAAGCTAAACTATTGAATTACTAAATTAGAACGGATTAATTAGGTGAGTGCTTATAGTAATGCTATTCGCATTCGAAGGCGGCTGAGCCACTAGTGCGAACCATCACGACCAGTGATATTTTGTTTCGTTTCTCAGGTCAACAACAACGAAGGGGCACGCCCTTCATTCCTTTTCTTTCTTTACCACCATATCATGCGTTGCTCTCATGCAGAGCACGCTCGCACACTCCTTTTCACTACATTCTTGTTCGTACTCTCATTTACCGCCACTCTAGCAGAGTCGGCGAATGTTCATGGTTTCCGAGCCCATCATGCCTGGCGCAGACGAGCATCATTAGATGTGATTGCCAGAGATCAGGTTCCAGCATTAACAACTCCGAGCGTGTTGCCTAGTATTACCAGTGCCCTGTCACCGACGGTGCTCATTACTCCGACTACTCCGACCTCGGTTCCCTCGGTGTTGCCCGCTCTACAATCACCATCAGTGCCTAGTCCTTCTCTACCAAGTCCTTCGCTACCAAGTCCTTCTCCACCAAGTCCGCCAGCAAATCCATTAGCCACAACCTCGAGTTCCTCTAGCTCCACTCCTGCATCCGATCCTACGTCGACCAGTGCCACCAGTGCCGCTACCCCTACCACAAGCAATGAGACTCCCGTTTCGTCAGTTTTTTATTCCGTATCATGTATACAGCAGACTCATGTCCTATTACAGACATTCCACTTCTTCTCAGTCTCCCTCTTCTCAGTCTTCCTCTTCCTCTTCCACCAAGCCTTCAACATCCACGCCTACGTCTGCAGCACCTGCTGTCATTGCAACAGCGCCAGCTGCACAACCGTTAGGGCTCACCTCAGCATATACAGGCACATTTACCAGCTTCGCAACCGGAACGACAGTTTCATCTACTCCTTCGAGCACGCCCTCTTCCAACTCTGGGTGAGTCCTCGTTTATTACTCATCGCCAATCGGTAGCTGATATCATCATCTAGATTCTTCTCAAATACAGGAGCAGTCGCCGGAACATTCACTGTTGCTGGCTTGCTTGGAGTTGCTGGAATTATTGGAACTGGAATGATGATCGCAAGACGCCGTGTCTCTCGCTCGTATGAGGATGACATGGAATACCTGGAAAAGAAGCCAGAACCTTCTGTAGAGCCCTCTCAGAGTCAGAGTTTCGTTGTTGGAGACGCTGAAGAATCCTCAGACATAGATCACTTCGGCAACTCCATGGAAGTAACTGTACCGCCTGCCGCACACTTTTATTCGCAGCAGGACGTATACCATGGGCAGGCAGCTAATGGTAGCGAAGGTTATGAGAACCAAGGCTACTATCCACATGAGGTGTACGCTCCCCATGAGTATGGTATAGCATACCCCCCGACGGAACCTTATGCGGCAGAGGATCCTTATGGAGGGATTGATGAAACTTGTGGAGGGATGCCAAACCCCTTTGATGATGTTGGATCAGGATTACCAGCTGCCTTGCAGCCATCTGTTCAGCGAACTCGAACGCTTATTCCTCCTCAAGCTGCGTACTGCTCTCCGGATCTCCATCACTCCGTCGATTCCTTTTACGGTTCCTCCACGGGCGCTTCGAACGGGCACGCCATGTGAAATTATACCAAACATCATATACTTGATCCGTGCATTGTGACATTCTTCATGTTGTCGTTCAAAATCACAGTGCACGTCTGATTCGTATTTCATTATTTTATTTATGCACACACTTGCAGCCTGCACGTATACCTTGGGTTTCATAGTAGGGCTGGTGTTAGCCTGACGATTGCACTGTACGAGCCACTCAACCTTTTTTTTGGATGCGGATATCGATTTGATTGACTCCCTTTATCGAATGATATATCGAAGTCTTAACGCTGGATTTCTTACCTCCAATTTTTACTCGACATCAGTTCAAAGTCCAACTAATACTGAACGTCGACTCCTAGCTAGGTCTAGCCTTTAAATCTTGGAAGTTTTCCGGACTTCGTCTATTTGACCATAATATTAGTAATTAGTTCTAACGCTTCGCGTTTTGCACGGTGGAAAGTATAAATGCTTGGTAGCACGTTGTCATATTTGCACAACATCTAGATGCGCATCTGAGTGATGCACAATCGTCCGTCCAGACCCTAAATATTCTTGAGCTTGAGCTTCAAGCTTCAAGACTTCGCGGACTTCAAAATGCGTGTGGGACAAACATTGACAGAGGTGTCAGCCAGGCTCGTGACCAGTAACCAGGCTACGTCCGAGAGCTGAACTTCTGAAGCTTCGAAGCTTGACGTGGACGTGCAGTATCGGTGTGCACCATATCAAATTGATCCAATTGAAATCACCTACACTTGGCATAAGTATGCTCTATGCTGGGAGAGTAATGACTATACGTCTGTCGCGCAGACTCTTCTCAACCCAAGTGCCGGAAGCTTTCCTCGAACCTCTCCAGTCTCACCTCGGTATAACATGTCTGTCCTTCAACAGACCACAGGCAAAGAATGCTATTTCAATGAAACTACTTCATGTGAAAAGACATCCAACTCCAATACCGTCATACGCGCTGAATCCCCCTCGTTAGGAATTTCGCGAATGTTTAGAAACCGCCAAGTACGACAAGAGGTTCATATCTCATATTATTTAGTGATAGCAGACTGCACTGATTACCATGGCACAGCATCCGAGCGCTGATAATACGTTCCACTACCATGGGTTCCTTCTGCGCAGGCGCCGACCTTGCTGAGAGACGTACTATGTCTCAAATTCAAATTACGAAATTCCTTTCTGACTTGCGTACTGCACTTGGTCAATTGGAAACATTGCCTATGCCAACAATTGCTGCAATCGACGGTCCTGCATTGGGGGGAGGGTTAGAACTGAGTTTTGCTTGTGACTTGCGTGTGGCTGGTGAGTTCGATCGCTGCATGAAGTGGAGTCCGCCTAATCTGTATTGAAGGACATGGTGTGACAAAGATAGGTCTTCCCGAGACGCGCCTCGGGATTATACCTGGAGCTGGCGGTACTCAACGTGCTGTCAGATTACTGGGCGTATCGAAAGCAAAGGCCCTGATTTTCACAGCTAAGATGCTGACAGCCCAAGAAGCACTTGAATGGGGTAGCAAACATTCTGAATTGTATCCCTATGATGTCATCTGACGAAGGCTGTGAGCATAGGTGTAGTAGATTATGTATCGTCTCCCTCTACATCAGCCTTTGAACGGGCAGTTGAATTGGCTCAGGAAATAACTAAAAGCGGTATGCACCCTCACTTCCCCCGTGCAACCTCATTCTCAACGTCTTTATTCTTGAACAGCCCCATTAGCGCTTCGAGCTGCAAAGCAGGGCAATTTCACGTGCAGCTGACCTCTCTTTGGAATCAGGTATTTAACGTTGTATTTATCATTGTAGTTGTTGACATATGAGGAACAGGTCTTGACTTAGAGAGAGCATCATATGAAGTTCTTCTACCCACGAAAGATCGGTTGGAGGCTTTAGAGGCATTCAAGGAAAAACGACAACCTGTTTTTAAAGGGGAATAGTCTGCTACTTTTGATTTGGAGCGTGCTGTGTATGTTGACTCATAGTGCAACGAATCAAGACAGGATCACGCATAGTGTTCGTGCGCCCATCATCTATACATCTACCGCGCCTCCGTTTTCATTGAAAATATCATCTGCAGCACATGATACTTATCTATTTCGTAACACTTGGGGTAGAGTTTCTGTACCTTGCGAAGCTTTTCGACATCCTCGCTGGCGCGTCACTATGTGGTCATACTGCTACCGTCAATGTCTTCCCACCAGCCTCCGCCGCCGCGGATGTTGCGGGAATGTGGTCAGCGTTCTGATGCTGGAACAGGTGGTTCGCTGATCTGCTGGGTATTCCATTTTCTTGGGGATGTCTTTGAACGATCATTACAGAAACTTCAGGACAAGGCAAAGCAAATTACCCGAATACTACTTGAGGCAGACCACATCACACGTCATACCACTTGTCCAAGATAACGATAACGACTGGGGTAGTGAAGATACGACATCCATATGAAAATGCAGCACAATGCTAGTAAGTGCTGTCCGTATGGTATTTACCGTCAATGATAGTTTCAGGGGCAAAATACTCACACTGATCTTCAAGACGTGGCACAGCGATGATTTGTACAGCAATTGCCATTTTGGTGATGGCAGATGAATCTACCCTACAACCATAACTTTGTGAGTGGATATCATGGTGGATATCCGGCTTTCACGCAATGTGCGAGCTAGTTGCCGCCACGTCACGTATGCACGAGAATCTTTAGCTCATTACTTCCATGAGTCGAATGCCAAAGGGCGTTCACAATTGTATTCGGTACGCATGCTCATCCACCAGCATGTCAATGACATGTCATTGTCTGGATTGGACGGTAAGTTTGCGAACGAAGGTAAGACTGATGCTCCCTGCCACCTTTCGATCCACTTACGTATCCCTGACACTTCTCCTTCATGAGTCCTCCCCTTACGAGGGTCGGTCGTTGCCCGCATACAACTCGCTTGCAGACGAGATTGGTATCATTTTCAGCGCAATACTCAGGAGAAGCCATAACGCAGAGATTACTGCAAAGACGAACTTGCAATTCCCGACAGCAGAGCTGGCTGGCGGCCGCATCGTCATAAGGTGACTATTTAGGCTATGATTGGTAGAAAGGAATCTGTAAGCTAACCACTACGGTGAAGATCATGATGGGAACGGGTTCTCGACCCTAATATCCGGACATGACCATGCTCCTTGGCAGAAATGGTCCATTTTGTCTGGTTCCAATGACGGGATGACACATGATGTGCAGGCTGTATTTGGATTTATTCAATGTGCGTCATCTAAAGACTAACGGGTCTCCTTTGGAAATGGCCGGACCGGCTCTTAGTTCAAAAGACAAGTAGCTGCCAGTGAGTACCCGAACATTCATATACAGTACCCATCAGCATTGCAGTACTATATCCTCCTCATGTTAGGCCAAAAAGTCTGGTTGATTACTGGTATGCTTTCTCGTTCACAATGGATCATGACATTTATCTCATTTCATGACAGGGACATCCTCTGGTTTTGGTCGTCGTCTTACGGGCCTTGCACTTGCAAGAGGGGATCGCGTTATCGCGACAGCTCGTACGCTGAGCAAAATTGAACATTTTCCCAAGCACCCAAACCTTCGTCTTATGCAGCTGGATGTCAACGCTAGCACGAAGGAAATTAAAGCGCGAATAGATCACGCCGCTCGTGCATGGAATGGCATTGATGTCTTAGTGAATAATGCAGGCTATGGGTTGCCTGCACTTCTTGAAGAAGGAGGGTATGTACACCAACCCGCCCGCGCTCTGCATATCGTTCATAGTATTTATTGCACAGCGTTTCCCTTATGCTCCGCCAGTTTCAAACTAACTTTTTCGGGGTGGTCAATGTTTGCAATGCAGTACTACCCTACATGAGAAAGAGTGAGTGCTTCTCGCAAAGATCCAAATCTCTTGCTTGCTGAAGGACATTTTCAAGAACGCAATGGCACAGTTGTGGTCATCGGCAGTAGGAGTGCATGGAAGCCGGAAGGCAGAGTACATAATTTTAGCTCGTTGTATCCAACTCGCTGAAGTTTACTATCACCCGTAGGGCCTTGGTAAGCACGATGTCTTGGCGAGTAAGAATGATAAATCGCTCACTCGTATTCTTACCAGGGTTTTATGCTTCAAGCAAAGCCGCTGTACATGGTGAGTAGACCTCTGACCTAAAAGATTCCGAAAAGAGTTAACCCGGCTTCACTAGCGATGAGTGAATCATTGGCAACGGAGCTGGAGCCATTCAATATCCGGGTATTGCTCGTGGAGCCAGGGTCGTTCCGCACCGAGGGCATCCTCGGTCACCCGTGGGACTGCTCCAATCCTATCCCGGATTACGATGAACAGCGTGCTTACGGACGTGTGAACTTTTCTAAACCTGCTGGGACACAACCAGGCGACCCAGACAAGGCTATGAAGATTGTTGTAGATGTGGTGAAGGGGGAGGGCTGCGCCGCAGGCCGGGAATGGCCTCTGTATCTTGTGTTAGGCAAGGATGCAGAGACTGACATCAGAAACAAGTGCGCCAAGGTTCTGAAGCACCTTGACGACTGGAATGACGTTGTCAGAGGAGTTGATCTGGTATGACTCGTGCAATTTCGCACCACCGTATACTTAGACTAAACACTTCACAGCCCCCCGGAAGCTCTTACAAAGGTACACCCCCCCGTCTAACTGAAAACGGCCTCAAACACACGAAACTTTTGGCCACAAAAATGCAATTCCTGGAAGAGGTCAAAAATCACGTGGCAGTGTGACTTCCATACAAGCGTTGACGCTGACGACGACCGCGGTGACAGAGGCACCATATAGCATCTCAATCAAATGTAATAAGTTTATTAGAATAAATCAACCACTAAATACTTTTTCGTCTCTTGTGACCCCCTCGCTGGAGTCTTGATGATAGGCAGCAATTTTTGAATAATATATTTTTGACAGATATCGTCCAGCGAGCACCTGATTCGGCGGTCAAGGTGAGTTGACTGCAGAGTTGCTGCGCAAATGGATAGCCATGGAAGTGGTAAATGAGTTGCTCTTGAGAGTACGCGAGAACAGTGGAAGGTTGGTGACATCCAAGGAATTTGAGGAGGAGTCAGTTGCATCGAGTTGCAGTCAGAAACAATGCGTCATACATTTACGAATATTAATGAGCCGGGACACAGGGGATCACCTTGCTTGCAAGGTCATATGGCATGCGACGAAATCTGACGGACTATGTGCCAATAATAAACATCAATAAATCATTAATATTTCTGTTGTTGAACGTCGATGCCAACAGATATCAAACATTCTCTTGTCTGCGTATATTCAGGCAGTATGGCAAAATGCAGCTCTGGAGGAGTTCCTAGTTACGCGCCGCGCAGATCCTGTTAAGTTTATCGCTTATTACATATCAACAATTATAGTGCAAGAAGAAGACATTGCTACTATGATACTGGCAATGATGACGTCATCGTGATGTCTCGCACCTGCCGTGTAATGCACAGAATTGGACAAGGTGTCGTGCATCGACGTTTCAGATCCATCATAGCGCCGTTCGCTGACAGCGCGTTTGAGCTCTTCGTCAATCTGAAAGCCTCGTCACCGGTTCCGCGGCTCGCGCGATGATGACTGGGGACATATCTCAGGACATCCGGGATCTTAACATTTTAGTCCCCTATCTCAATTTCGATGACTTGCACAACTTCTTAACGGAGACTTTAGGCTACAGGCAAATCTCAGATCATTGCCACCCAGCAATAATTCAAGTCTGCCGATGCCTAGTACTGACAAGTGTTGCGATATCAGAAACAAGTCAAGATGGGTTGAGTGCGTGTATCAGGATCAGAAGTAATACCAGCCAGTCACTACTGCGGCCAAACGTCACGGAGTTAAATTACATACGGCTTTATGTAATATCGCCCCTTTTAGTTGGAGTAGTTTGCGGACTCAGACTCAGGCCTGCCTGTCCTCGCATGCATGCGAAACTAAATTTTGTGTCCACATGTGCCATAATTGTCCGTCATCCACCCTTAGACCTGCTAGCTGCGGCCAAAGAATTCTCAAAGCAACTGTGGTCATTGTCCGATTAGGATGACAAGGACTAGGCAGTGGACTGTCCAATATCCACATCTCCATAGTGGTAGGCCACAAATCACAGTAGCTTGATCGATAGTATATATACCGTACACGAAGGAAACTGTTTAGTATCACCTCCAGCCCCAGGCAACGTCTTCCAAGAAAGCTCAAGTGCATCACTATGAAATCTCAAAGTAAAAGGTCTCAGCGTACTTCTCCCTATCAGGTCGAAAATGCTCCCAAGAGGAAATGTATGACAACTGGACAGCTTAACATACTTGACCCTTATTATGCCAAAAACGATCACCCTACGAAGGATGATATCGAATTACTGGCCAAGGCGATTGATATGTGAGTTTGGATTCCTTCACATAGTGCGATCACCCGAGCTGACCAAATGGATGCATAGTCCAGCCCAGAAAGTTAAGAACTGGTTCAATAATCGGCGCGCCAAAGAGGCTAGACTACAACGGAATCCATCGGATATGTTATCGCAATGCTTCTGGAACATGAACATTGATGATACCGATGACTTGTCCGATTCGGACGACAACGATGACGAGCACGAGTCGGGTGATGCCCAAGGTGCCCTAAACCAAGGGGGTCTGGACCAAGAAGTTCTTTATCAAGAAGCCCGCGCCTGTGTCTTGGCCATGGCCAAGATGACACCAGAGGAAGTCAATGCGGCGTTTATTCTCAACAACCTCAAGCGACGAATCATTGTTCATCCTCCCCAAAAATGACAGCGTGACGTGTTTTCAAGCGTTTGACTGGCTCCTACACGGCTACTCGATCAGCGCTATATAGCCGCTATATGTTGATTACTTGCTTACCTTGTTATTGATACCCGACATAAATATGATGTACTTATATTGGCCCCAGTAGGCATCATGCACTGCAGTGAGGCAGCCCACCATCTTCTAGCACGTAAAAGATCGCAGTCCACCATAGGGTCAGCGATACAAATTATCATTTGAGAGATTCTAGCGGTCCTCCGATTGTCCGCTCCTGGTTTGTGGAAGTCTTGACTTCGGAAATGAACCAACGATTACTGACTCTGAACTTTGGAGCCCCATGGTAAAACCTCGGACTCACCGACTGCTGGCAGAACTTGAAAAGGTCCTCTGAAATTGAGTAAAGTTCTCACAAGTTGCCAGAAAACTATCCACGGTAAGAGCCACAGAAATGAGTATGATTG